GAGGTTTTTTTTTAAATTGTATGTTGTGCCCTCCCCCACCGCTAGGCGGTCGCCAGTGCTCCCTCCCTTCTCCGCTTCTTCATCCTACTGCTGCTGCTGCTGGTAGTGAAGAAGGAGCCAGAGGGGTTCATGGCCAGCACCCCTCTTCCTCCTCCTCCTCCTCGGAGCCCCAGCCGGGCTAAGGAAACTCCTGGGCGGCTTCCTTGGGCTTTTGCTCCACTTGGCGGAAAATCTGATGCGGCCCAGCCTCACGCAGCGGGCCCCAGGTAAATTGAGTTTGAGACCTGTGGTCTACATTTATTCAAATACAGTAATGTCATCATCTTCTGGTTGCTGCACAATGGTGGAGCGCGGGGTTTCACTTAACTTATTTTTGGGGTAGGGCTTATATTACGAGAATTCTGAAAAATCATACTAGGGCTTGTTTTCAGGTTAGGTCTTATTCTCGGGGAAACAGAGTAGCAGATGTTAATGAGCCCCTTTGCCATAGTTCCTCTTCCATAATTCAGGCTTGACTTTAGAAGTTTCTGCAGGAGTGCTTGGCTGCTGTCATTTGGGAATGAGCCGAGAGCCATAGCCCAGCAGAGTAACAAAAATTCATGCGACGCGCCTGGCAATATCTCCGCTGAGTTTGCATTTCAGGGTTTTTGGTGGAGGCGGATTAACAGGGCAGTCTCCATTACAAATCTGACCTCCTCCCAGTAATTATTTTCCTATTTATTATTCTTTGTGCAGTGCAACCCTGGTGAAACAGGGTTCCAAACTAGGCAAGACAAAATTATTCAATTTTGTAGGATTCCCTGTGAGTCGTCCCCCCCCCACCTCTCTCAAATCTAAGGACTGCATCTATCTCAAGGCTATGCATCCTATGCATTTTTTATTTTATTTTGCTGTGTAAAGAGCAGCTGTAAAGGTTATCTTGAACACTTTGTTGTGTAAATAGCAGTGGAGGGAAGCATTAATAGCCTTCTAGGTGGGGAGAGGAAGTTTAGATTGCTTTCTCTCTACTATGTTTGGTCTTCAACAAAAACCACCTGACTTGAAACTGTTGTTTGCCTTATTGGGGGGAAAAGTCCATTGGTGTCAATGGGGGCTTTCCTTGAAATGCGGATAGCTTTAGGGAGGTGTCCTTTGTGAGCAGGAGAGAGCCAAAACCAAACTCCACCCCCCCACCCCTTCCATAGCCCTTAAGGCTCCTTAAGTTTCCCACAGCTGATATTTATAAAAGAAAAGAAATGTACATAAAACATGTTCATTCCGGAGGTAGAGGCAGTAGCTGGACACACACACACACACACACACACACACACACTAACACTATGGTGTCCTAACAGTCCCCTTACAAGATATAAAGATAGGTGGAGGTTGGGGGAATTCTGCTACTTTGCAATAAGCACAATTGTTGGCTTACCAAGATTCTGTGAGTTGCTCTTCTGCTTCGTTTTGGATGCCCCAGCCAGATTTTCCAACCATGTTTGGTTCCGCTCTGTTTTTTACTTTTGAGTTCTATGTCTCTCTATCTGTCAGCACATTCTGCTTTATTGTGTGATCAGTTTCCTATCTGAAGATTTCTGAGGGTAGAAGGTGGGCTGAATCTAGGATTTAAAAAAGAAATGGTCTAAAGGTAGATCTGGCTGTATTTAATAGTCTACTGTGTGATTTGCAGTAGATCAGCAAATAATTGTGTCTCCTTACCCAACAATTTGTCCTTTCTGTGTGGTATCAAGCTGGTTTTGACTTAGGGCAACCTTATGAATGAGAGATCATCGAAAAGTCTGTCAACATCCCTCCAGAGGTCTGCCGAATTCAATACTGTGGCTCCCTTTATTGAGCAAATCCATCTTATATTCTGTCGTCTTCTTGTCCTGCTGCTTTCAACATTCACGGTATCACTGTCTTTTCCAGTGAATCTTGCCTTCTCACAATGTAAAAGAAGTTTCAACATTTTTGCCTCCAGAGATAATTCAGGATTTGATTTAGGACCCACTTATTTGTTTTTTGGAGGGGGTGCTCTGTGGTTGCTGCAAAGCTCTCCTCCAACACCATGTTTGAATTAATAGAAGTTTTCCCTTGTCAGCGTTTTCATAGTCAGACTTCCACATCCATACATACCAAAGTTGTCCTTAGTCTCCAGTGACACATCCTTACATTTGAGGAATTTTTCTAGTTCCTTCTGTGATACAGCTCAACTGTGATACAGCTCATCATCTGTATCCCAGTTGTCTTCTGGTTTTGTTTTGGCACACAGAATACAGCTTCTCCATCCTTTCTTCTGATTATGTAACCTATTTGAAGGCAATATTTTCTGTCTACTGACATTCATGTGTTCAATAATCTGCTAGGTCGTCTGAAGTTGTATATTTGCAATAAACAAAATTGTTGGCTTCCAGAATTCTGTGAGTTGCTTTCCTGCTTCATTTTGGATGCCTAGGCTGGATTTTCCAACAAAGTTTGGTTCTGCTTTATTCCTGTTGTGTTCCAGTTCCCTGTGATTGTCAGAACATAATGCTTTATTGCGTGATCAGTTTCCTCCTGGACACTTGCATAAATGGTTTTTCAACATTTTTTTTTCAGCATCTACAGCTGGATCATAAATGTGAATGATAAGCTTTCCAAGACATCTGACTGATATACAGTAATACTATCGAACTTTGCTTAACATTTGTGGCAACAAAATGGTTTCCTTCTGCTACTCTAAACAATTTTAGTCAAAAAGAAGTGGGGGCAGGGAGAAATTTATTTTTCTGTGGAAACATGGAAAAGTGTTTCCCCTCTACTAGGCTCACACATACATCCTGCTTCCAGGGCAGGGACCTATTGCCTATTCTGTCCCCAAACCCAGCAGACCCATAGCTCCCTCCTCCTTGCGTTTGTCTGGTGCTGTGTTGGTTATTGTCGTTTGAATCAGCTTTGTTGCTTCTCAGTAGGACAAGATGGGAAATGTTCCATGTGATTTTGTGGATTAGATGTTAGCAGCATCAGGCCAGAACATGATGCCACCATCAAATACTAGTTAACAGGTAGAAGATGGTCTGAATCTATTGATAGATTTCTGGGTGGTTTAGAGTGAAGTCCTGCAAGTCTTTCTTTCTTTCTTTCTTTCTTTCTCTCTTTCTTTCTTCCTTCCTTCCTTCCTTCCTTCCTTCCTTCCTTCCTTCCTTCCTTCCTTCCTTCCTTCCTTCCTTCCTTCCTTCCTTCCTTCCTTCCTTCCTTCCTTCCTTCCTTCCTTCCTTCCTTCCTTCCTTCCTTCCTTCCTTCCTTCCTTCCTTCCTTCCTTCCTTCCTTCCTTCCTTCCTTCCTTCCTTCCTTCCTTCCTTCCTTCCTTCCTTCCTTCCTTCCTTCCTTCCTTCCTTCCTTCCTTCCTTCCTTCCTTCCTTCCTTCCTTCCTTCCTTCCTTCCTTCCTTCCTTCCTTCCTTCCTTCCTTCCTTCCTTCCTTCCTTCCTTCCTTCCTTCCTTCCTTCCTTCCTTCCTTCCTTCCTTCCTTCCTTCCTTCCTTCCTTCCTTCCTTCCTTCCTTCCTTCCTTCCTTCCTTCCTTCCTTCCTTCCTTCCTTCCTTCCTTCCTTCCTTCCTTCCTTCCTTCCTTCCTTCCTTCCTTCCTTCCCTTCCCTTTCTTTCCTTTCTTTCTTTCTTTCCTTTCTGACGTGTGTTTAAGAATAGCAGCAGGAAAATGGCTCCCTGTGCCCTAAATTATAGTGCTACAATCAAGCGTCCCTAATGTAGCCTGGAGTCCATTTCTACGTGGATGACTGCGAGCTCAATTCAGCTTTTGTTGTCAAAATAAAATTCCTGGCCTCTCAGAATTATCATTATCTTTATTATGATTATTAAATATTTAAATGTATGTCCTTGGCACAAGGTTCCAGTTGGTGGATCTTAAGGTTCAAGGAAAAAAAATAAAGATCCCACCTGTGTATAATTTCCCCCTCCCCATGAGTTGTGTTCCATTCTTTAGGGAAGTACTTCCAATAATGCCTGGCAGATGGGCATTTTCAGTCATTGGCAAGCAAATCTATGGAATTGTTTCCTTAAGGAGCTGCGCCAGCTTCCAACATTCTTGGGGTTTAGCTGGAAAGTTAAGAGTGTGGGTTATTTTGGGGGGGAAGGTTGTCTCTGGTTTTTTTTAAGCCTCTTTTCCTTAATTTAGTTTTTTAATTGGCATCTCTTAAGTTGTCCTGGCTTTCAAGGCTGGGTGGTTATGTGGTTCTTTTTTTATTGCTGCATTTCACTTGTGCATTTGCTTTTAATGTGGTGTTTAGTTTTCCTGAAAGCAATGCTGTGGGTAGTCTTTTGCCTTTGTAATTAAAATTTGGTTTTAAGTCACCTTCAGGATTTTTTTTAGCATGTTAAGCAAAAACAAAACAAAGACGAAAAAAGAAAGATCAAAACGTGGCCCCTTAAAGACTGCTGTATTTTAATGTAAGCTTTTGTGGACAAGTCCACTTTTTTGGAGAAAGCTCTTAATAATAATAATATCATAACTCACTACAGTATCTATATTCTAGTGATTGCAGGTTGATTATGTGAAGCAACTGGTCCAGGAAATGAATTCTGGTTGCTGGAGAAGGTATCATGTCAAACTTTATGATTGATGGATGGATCTGTTTTGCAAAAACAATATTGTGTCACCATGAGCTGATGGTTAGAGCAATGGATTAGGATGGGAGAGAGTAGCTGAGTCAGTTACTCTCTCATCTACCTCACAGGGTTGTTTTGCAGTTTAAAATGGGAAGAAGCACCACGTGTACCACTGTGCACTCTTTGTAGGAAAGGCAGGATGTGAATGTAAAAAACAAATAAATGTGTGTGTGTGTTGCTTTTCATATGAATACCATTACCATTTTTCCATGCCATGGCTGATCAAGGTTTCCTGGCCTTGTTAATGAAGGCACAGCAGTCCTTCCTTGGTACATTTTTTTTAATATAAAAATCTTGGGACTGACAGAACTAGTGGTGCAGCCTTGGGTTTAACTCTTTTCTCACATATTGTTTTCCTTCCAGGTCCTATTCAGACCTCACGCCTCCTGGTCAAAAGCCTCTCTTTGGAGCCTGCTCCAGAACATCATTCTCCAGAAGCCCCCCAGCGGCTCATCTCAGACCCAGGACCTGACAGTGGTGAAGGGGAAGCCGCCAAGCTTCGCCCACTCAAACGAACCCCAGGACCAAAGCCACAAGGTATAAGCTCCTTCTGCCTTCTTCCACTGTGGCAGCCCCTCCAGATAACCATCATCCCCACTCATCATGGTTGGTGCTAGGTAGAAATGAGGAGGGCCGTAGTCCAGCATTTCTGGAAGGCCGCTGTGTTTGTGAAGGCTGGGCCAGGCCTCTCATCCTTATTGAGGGCCCCAGGTAAGGAGGCTCTTTATGGATGTTTCCAAGCATAACATCTGGAAAAAAAAGGTTGTCTCTTGTTGAGAGGAGCCAGTTTTTCAGTTTTCAGCCTTTGATATTGTAAGAGAAATAGGATAAGGCATAATTTTCTGTGGAAAGGTGGTCATGGTGTACTTTACTTCCTTATTTAGATCTTCTGTCCAGCCAACATTGATGCCAAAAGCAGTATGACACTAAAAATCAACGCAGGACACCTGGTTATATGATTCTGGGAGACTCCTCTAGTCCCTAGCCCTTTGCAATAGAGTCTAGTGTCTGCACTCTTTGCTTCAGGAGGAGAGGGACAGAAGAAGGTGGGTGGAATTAGCAAGGTAGCATGGTGAAGATTAGAACTACCTGGTGGCAAATGTGCCAGCCTTCGGAAGCAGCCGCCCCATTCATCCAGGAATGAACAACATATGGGTCACCCTGGCTCTTTTTGTCATCCTTCCAAAGGTCGCTCTCACCCCCACTGCTCCATTTGCTGTGGTTAATCATTTATTTTTCTGTATTTATACTGCCCTTCTGTAAAACCCATCAATGCATTGTTTAACAAATCAAAAGCCATAAAAACAGCATCATTAGCACATTGAAACCATACATGAAAGAACATTAAACCACAACAGCATGACTGAAAACAGCTTAAAGGACGGTGTTAACAAGATGGGTCTTGGCACTTTTTCCGAAAGCGTGAGCGTGTGGGAAGGTGTTGGTGTTTGCTGAAAGTCCGTGTGTATAGTGTGCTAAATGTGGTGTAGACTGATGATTCTTCCTGCTTTTCCAGTCCCTCCCAAGCCTGCCCATCTACAGAACATCCAGCTGCCTCGACTTCTTGAATCCATTCCCCCACCTCCGTCACGCCCCCTCCCAGCTGATCCACGCTTGAGCCGTAGCCCGCAGCCAAAAGATGGGTCTGGGTCATTGTCGGCTGTGTCCTGCCTCATTGAGAAGTTTGAGAGGTGAGTGATGCCAGCTGCAGATGAGGTCTGGCTTCCCTCCTAAAGCTGCCGAAGTAGCTGGTGCTTCCTATGATTCTAAACCCCCTGCCATATCCCGCAAGCACTTTGGAAGCAGAGGTGGGGCGTGTTTCACCTTCTAAGTGTTGTTGGACCGCAGCTCCTATAAGCCTTTGCCGGTATAGTCAACCCTGAAAGTTCATGGGAGCTACATTCTAGCAACACCTGGCAGGCTATCCATCTCTCAACCTTGCCTCTGCATATTGCTTTCCTTGGGCTACCTGAGACCACCTTGGACTATGGCTGGATTTTCTCTAGCCAAACATTATACTTTCTGTACAGGACAGTAATTTCCTGTATTTGTTACTATTCTGCCTTTTGTAGTTCAGTAGAACAAGGAATTTCAGCATATGCAGCTTCTCCATCTGTATTGGTGAGAGAAAATATACTGATAGCTATTCTCTTTCTTTTATATACTGTATAAAAAGGAGCTATTATAACAGGAGGCACTAAAAAGGTACTTTCTTACACATTTGTTTCAGTAAGAGTCATAAGTAATTGTTTCCACAAAATACAATGGCGACATGAACCATGGACTACCAGCTGTTGCTGAGCAGTCTTAGATTGCTACTTAGGGTGCTCCCCTTTGCCCTGCAGTTTGGTCCAGGTTGAGAATGAGCTGGTTCATTCCTTTTCCTGGTGACCACATGGTGTATGTGCCATTGCGAACCATCTCCTCTCTAATCAATGCCCACCTGTACCTTTTTGGGTCCCTGTTTGGGGCTACTTTTTTTTTTAGTGTGGGTAGGATGTCTTTGTTTTGTTTTGATTCCAGCTTATGTGATCACTGGGATCAAACCAAAACAAATGGTTTAAGCCGCTTCACAATTTTGAGAAATTGAAATTTTCCTTCCGGTTTCCTTGCAGAGGGGAAGGGAGAGGAAGTTGTGCATTTATTTTTAATTGTAAAAGCTCTTTCGATGCATTGCTGATGTGCTGTACCAATTGTTGCTTTGTGTCAACTTACAGTCACCCTTATACACCCTTATACAGTTTTCAAGGGTTGCTTTATTTAAGGTGTGCTTTAATCATTTCCACACACCCCAGTGAGCTTATGTGGCTGGGCACGGATTCAAACTCAGGTCTCCTGAGTTTTAGTCCATCATCCTAACTACTACACCACAGTAGGAACCAGTTAACAACAACTGCCAGTTAGCAACAATTAAAAAGAAATTGAAAAGTTCCTCACCTTTCCCTTCTGTAAGAGAGTGGAAAGGAAGCTTTCCATTTCTCAAGTTCATTAAATGGCTTAGGTAAAGCACAGAGGAGGAGATGGGAGTGGGATTTCCTCCCACACAAACACTTTTAAAGAGAAAGGAGATCAATCTGGGTTGCTTTAAGTGTGTTGTGGTCAATCCTTGCATGTGGGTGCAAGGATCACTCCAAAGGACATACCACACCTTAAAGCAACCCTGTTTAGCATGATTTAACTAGAGATGGGCACTTTGTGCTTCATACAGCTTCATACAAAGTATGAAGCATGGCACCACTGCATTCTTTGGCAGCGGTGCTCCAATCCAGGAGATGGGGAAAAGCTGACTGGGCTCCTGCCTGTATTGGAGTGCTGCTGCCAGAGAAGGATCCCAGCAGTGCAAATGGATAGTAAGTGGACCAGCCAGCCTGGGGGAAGGGAGATGGAACTTACCACCATCTGTGGTGCCATGCTTTGTATGAAGCTGTACAAAGCACAAAGTGCTCTCTAATTTAGACTGATCCAGGCTAAGATAATTGGGCCATCTAGTTGTCCTCTTAATCAGAGCTTGCGAAAATGTTTCTGTTTTGGCTGGCTACTAACTCATGAAATTCCACATAGTTTTTCATGGTGAGAATGGAACCGGTAAGGGGTCTAACTCAGCTGTTGTTGTCTCCTGATTCGATGTCTTTTCCCGACTTCCTTCCCCCCAACCAACCTTTGCTCTCCTGATGGTATGTTTTGTTTTCTGGCAGGGAGCCTGTAATCCTGATGGTAGAGCAGGCCTCTTCACCGTGTCCCAGCCCAGACCTGCAGACCCCAGAGACTGGTCCAATGGAGCCTTTACTTGATCGGCCAGCTTCCTTGGAATCAGCAGAGCTGGCCCACAAACTTCTAGACCTCCTGGTGCTGGACGGGGGCCAAGAAGCTGGGGGCAACGCTGCCTGCCTGCCCTCTCATGATGGTGGGAAGTTGGCAAACCGAGACAGCGGCATTGACAGCATCAGCTCGCCATCCAACAGCGAGGAGATCTGCTTTGGAGGGGAAGAGGGCACCGGAGAGGGATCGGGACCACCACCGCCTCCTGCCATCATCAAGCGCCGCTCAACCCGAGATTCTGAAGGGGACAGTGACATGGATGATGGGAGTGGGGATGAGGCCGAACTGCTCCCTGAACTCCCACCTCCACAGGCTGAGAGGCAGGATTCAGATGAGGTGAGAAGCTTCCACTGGTACATTTTAGCACCGGAGTGACCTCCCTTCCGTCCACCGCTTGCTCTGGCTGAGCATTTTCCTTCCTCTTGTCCTTCACGTTAGTGGTTCCAACTCTTGGTTCCCAATTGCATCAACAAAGTTCCACCATGGTAGAAGCAACAAGATGACTTTTGTCTGAAAAGGTCATTCACCTCCTTACAGATATTTATATTTGTCACCTATGATAAGTTGGTGATTAGGGGAACAAGGGATTAGGAGCACCATTGAAGTTCCAGAATTACGTAGCAGCACAACAGAGAGTCATAGAGAGATCATCTTTGCAGACATTGCTATGTTAGGAGGAGATGGCACATCACGCAAGGGGATGCAAGGATCCCGGGAGAGCAAATCCTTAGTTGTCGGAAAAACTCTGTGTCCCATCTAGGTTTCCTCTGTCTATGCCACTGATTGAGAACCATTGTTTCATATCATGCTCATTACTAAAGATGGAGTATAATTTACATAGTAATGGTACTCACTAGTAAGCCTAGATGACATGTCAGGATTTCTAGGCTTCCCCTGCGTTTCCCCTCCCACTGTGCCATTAAAACTCACTGAGGGACCTTGGGCTGATCACCATCTCTCAATGTGGTCTCCTTACAGGCTTGTTATCATGAAGATAAAGTGGAGAGGAGGATAGCCATATAAGCTGCCTTTTAAGCTGATTGGGGGAAAGGCAGGAGATATGTCTAAAATACAGATACAAAAGAACCAAGAAGTGGAGTGCTCATAAAAATCAGCTGTGAGAGAGCTGGAAGCCTGTACCAGAGTCATGTGTATTGTTAGACTATTGGATAGAAATTGTTCATGAATTAGTTCTGTCTCATAGACAGTACCTGCCTGGCATTATCATCCTGAGTGTTGAGAGCAAGAGTGTTTTTGATGGACTGAAATTTTCCTAATTGGGCTATTTACCACTTAAGATTTTTTTTAACTGTCTGGCTGTCTTCACTCACACAGTGGCAGAACATTTCCTGTTTCCAGGGGAAGTGTGAATTTAATTATATATTTATCTAACTTATATGCCACCCACACCAGCCAAAGGTAGTGAATTGGGCCCAGGCAGCAACTGGTAGCCAGTGTAATTTAAACAGAATTGACTTGATGTGTCCCCTAGTGACCCCACCAATCACCAGCCGCGCACCTCGATTCTGGACCAGTTGCAGTCGCCGGACCATCTTCAAAGGCAGCCCCATGTAGAGCGCATTGCAGTAATCTATGCGAGATGTTAGCAGTGCATGTGTAACTGTCATGAGACTCCGCTCGTCCAGGTAGGGCCGTAGCTGGTATAATTTCCACAGCTGAAGGAAGGCGCCCCTGGCCACTGAGCCCACCTGGGCTTCCAGATTTAGACTGGGGTCCAGGAGCAGATCTCATCTATCTCCCAGTGAGGATGAAAGCAAAAAACCAATATTTCTAAGCCTGAACTCTTAAGAACTGGGAACATTTGGGGTGGGAATAAGGCATGGGTTGTGTAAAGATCCATAGGAAGAATCAAGGATCAGTTCCGTTACTAGTTCCTCTGGGGGAAATCCTGGTATCAAGAGTCCCAGGAGTGGTTGGTGAATTCAGACATCCTTGTGGCCATCATGATACTGTATATCCTACCTTTCCTCTTGCAAGCTGAAGGCAGAACACATGGTTGTCTTCTTTCCCACTTTCTCACAGCGACTTCATGAGGAAGGTCAGGTTGGGAACAAGTGACTGGCTCAAAGTCACCCAGTCTCAATGCAACATTCTCACTATCTGGGCTACAGTACTTAATGCACATCCTTTCATCTTCTCTACAGATGACAGTTCCACAGAAGGTCTTCCGAATTGCCAACGAACTTCTTCAAACAGAAAAAGCCTATGTATCTCGTCTGTATCTGCTGGACCAGGTAATGTAACCATTCACAAGTTACTATGGTGCTTGCAGTGTTTGTCAAAGCCTGGCAGAAAATATGGTATCTTTCTCACAAGCTGTGCCCAGTTGTGTAGGTCAGAAAACTAGAGTTACAGCCAAGGTTGTTTTACGCTGGTGGAATAGTTGCTTGCATTCAGCTTTGTTGGGTTGTGGGTTCTGTTTTCTCCATTCCTGGTAGTACAGTCATGCCCCGCTTAACGATTACCCCGCTCCACGACGAAATCACTTCACGACGATGTTTTTGCGATCGCTTTTGCAATCACAAATAGATGTTTAAATAGGAAAAAAACGCTTGACGGCGATCGTTTCCCTGCTTCGGGAACCGATTTTCGCTTAATGACGATCAGAAAACAGCTGATCGTCGGGTTTCAGAATGGCTCCCCGCTGTGTTAAGGACAGATTCCTCGCATTACAGGCACCAGAAAATGGCCTCCCTATGGAGGATCTTCACTGGACGGTGAGGTATTTCGCCCATTAGAACGCATTAACCGGTTTTTTAATGCATTCAAATGGGTTTTTTACTTTTGCTTGACAACGATTTCATTGTACAGCGATTTTGCTGGAACGGATTATCGTCCTCAAGCGAGGCACCACTGTATCTGTACAAAAGAAGTTTAGGCTGTGGGCAGAAGAAAGAGAAGATGGTTCTCTCCACCACTGAATCTGTGCTAAACATGGCCACGAGTCTGGGTCAGGGCTGCCTCCCATGTTTTTAAAGCATGTTCTGCCTCCTAGGTTTTCTGCGCCCGTCTTCTGGAGGAAGCACGTAGCCGAAACTCTTTCCCAGCCGATGTGGTGATGGGCATTTTTGCCAACATCTGCTCAATCTATTGCTTTCATCAACAGTTTCTGCTCCCAGAACTGGAGAAGCGTATGGAAGAATGGTGAGAAAATGGCTTAGGATTGGCTTCCTTCTGGGTGTGGCATTTAAAGTACACAAATACATGCATTGATCTCTTTTTAAGCTGCTGGTCAGCATTTGCATGTCATGAAATCCTGCTGTGGAGGGATTCCGCGTGTTCGAAATGGATGTAAATTATATACTCTATTTGAATGAACATTATGTGTTTCTGCATAGTTGTGTAACTTTATCTCTCCACCTTAGGCTTTCAGGGGTTGAGAGGAACTCAGGCCTTGGCTGCTAATCTCAAATAACCCAAATAAATAACAGAAGGGCCCTTAGAGGTTATCTAATCTGGTCCGCTTGCTTAGGTTAGGCTCTGCAGAGCAGGAGAGAAATACAGCAGCCCCTAAGGGATGGCTGCCTCTACCTCTGCTTAAATATCTCCAGGGATGTGTTCCATTCAGCATGTTGTCCAAACAGGGCATCCTGGCTTCTTACTCTCTTGGCAACTGGGAATCAGTCTTGATTTTTTTTTTTAACCCTAGCTTATTTGGGAGCATCAAGATGGGATGCCAAGATGGACGTTATGCTGAACAGTCAATTTTGAGTTGAATGGGAAGAGCCAAGCAAGAATATGTGGGCAGGAGGCATCCTGTCTTGTTTGGGAGCAGCAGTTAAATCTTAGTGACTTCAGAATCCTACGGTCCCTGCTGATGCTGACCTTGCCTTCTCCTCATGGATCTCTCTTTTTCTCCCTCTTGTTTTGATTCTCACAGGGACCAGCACCCTCGCATTGGGGATATCCTTCAGAAACTGGCTCCGTTCCTTAAGATGTACGGCGAGTATGTCAAGAACTTTGACCGCGCCATGGAGCTGGTCAACACCTGGATGGAGCGCTCCGCCCAGTTCAAGGGCATAATCCATGAAATCCAGGTGAGCTTGCTCAGCACTCATCTAGCTCAGGGTCACCTCAAAAGTATTGCTGTAGTGGGTGCCCCAGGTCTTCCCCCTCCATAGACACACACAAGGGGGGGGGAAAGTCACAACATTTAAAAGGCTGGAGCTTCACAGAGGAACAGCTGTATTTCCATTCCAGTGCTTCAGGCCAGTATTTATATAGTACTCCCCCTCCAAGTATTCAAAACACTTAAGATAATTTTATTGATTGGGTTTTATGAACGAAATGTGCTTCTAGTTCCCCACAAAGGGAAAAAAAAAGTAAAAATCATTTGTAAAAAATACTCTTCTCAGTGCTCGTGCTTTGTGTGTATGGGAAAGCGTGGGTCGGTAGGACCACTGATTTAGGCTGAGAGGCAGAAAGAGGATGCTTGCTCTTTATGGCCTGATTAAGAGCTAAATTAGGCCCGGAGGTCATGCGGCCTTCTAGATTTTCCTGGCCTACGATCCCCATCATCATTCACTCTTGCTTATACTGGTTGATGGCTTGACGGGAGGGAAGTGTAGTCCAATACCTCCTGATCAGACCTCCTGATCTAAAGAAGAGTTGCGTTATTGGGAAGGGAAGGATTTGTCAGGAAGGAGCCGGTGTTGCGTCAACTGCTCAGGCCGCTCGTTGCCTTGGGTTCCTTCCGTGAGTTCTGCCTCTAGCTCTCTGGGTCTCTTTTCTATCTGGGAACAGGCCTGTTGCTCTTGGAGAACGGCCAGGCAGACATTTTCTCTTGAGACTGAGACTGCTCTCTCTGTCATAGCGGGAAGAGATATGTGGGAACCTAACTCTGCAGCACCACATGCTGGAGCCAGTCCAGAGAATTCCTCGCTATGAGTTGCTGCTGAAGGATTATCTTCTCAAGCTCCCTCCGGATTCGCCTGATTGCAAGGATGCCCAGAGTGAGTGCAAATGCAGGGGGCGGTAGAGAGAGCGCGAGAGAGAGAGCTGGGCGGGGCAGAAAAGGTTCAGTACGGGAGGTGCACAAGGTGCCACAGCAGGCAGAGAAAAGGAGCTTCTTAGAGGGTGTGATGTTAACTCACAGTTAGGCTGGCTTCTGGGGTGTTCCCCTTCTCTACTTGGAGTTTCCAGAGTATTCAAAGCACTCAGCACTTCTCCTTCTCAGAGGGACATCTGGCAACCTGAGTAAAGGGTGTAAGGCCAAGATTTCAAACCTGGAGGGCTGCTGGCTAAGCCTGAGGCTGCAGCAGCAGCTACTTCTCCCACTTTCATAATCTGTCTCTTGTTTGGCATCTGGGAGGCCAGGGGTAGTCAGTGGTCTTGATCCTGCTGGGGGGACTTCCAGAGTTATTGGTCTCTAACACAGATGCAGACCAAACCTGGAGTCTAGCCTTCAGTGTCGGTACAGGGGCAGGTGCCCAATAAATGGCCCTGGATGACATTGTCTTTGCAGATGCCCAAATGCATGGTAACATTTTGGTACTTTTCTGCTGTTAGCTCTGTTGGTGGCCCAGTGGATTCCTTTGGCAGCCTAGTAATGTAGACACTCCTTTTCCCTTTTCCTCCTGCTTCAGAATCCCTGGAACTCATTGCCACTGCTGCGGAACACTCAAACGCAGCCATCCGCAAAATGGTAAGAGCTGGAAGAAACTGGAGGTGACAACATCTGGCAATTCTCCTTTCTGAAGGCTAGGAGGACTTTGCGAATGGGGTTCAAGCTGTGTGTTTCAGAGCGCTCGGCATGTGATTGAGATTAAGGGGCAAGAGTAGTACAAGGCCAGTTGGAACAACTAATAGTATACAGGACCAAGGTATCCATGGATGCCGAAAAGGGCAGGTATAGAAACGCTATATATAGCATAGTCTCTGGTTCTCTCTAGTGGCCAGTTCTGGTAATGCGCCTTGGAAATGCATATTTCTGAGGTTTTTTAATTTAACATTTTCAGGCAGTGGATAAGTGAAACCATTGGTCCTGATCCTATCGATGTGGAGGTCTTGCTGTATTAGATTTAATGCCTTAAGGTTTGCTTTCCATCTTCTGATGGGCAGGGAACATACAGTAGTTCAGAGACAGAGCACCAGTGCACGTAGTCTGAGGTTCAGTTCTGCAGCTTCTGTAGGGTAGGGGGCAATGAGAAAAGATCACTTCCTGAAATCCACTAGAGTTGCTGCCAGATCCCAGGAGTTGCTAGCAGGCCAGAGGGACAAATGATTTGACTAGTACAAGGCAGTGTCCTTTGCAGCTTGGTAGTGCTAATGTGTGATTGTTAAAGGAGTATTTATGGACTGAAAAGTTGTCAGATGCAATTGTTTTAATCATTAAGAGAAATAGCTGTTAACGTGGTAAATTAAAAAGTAATGTAGCGTTGTTAAAAAGTGGTCCAAAGCACCCCTCACCCTATTTCCCCCTTTGCCCCGAAACAGACAAATTAAAATGATGTGGCTCAAAAAATTTGATGAGCCCGGCATTAAATGATGAATGAACGTAACCCTTCTAGGAAAGGATGCACTCGTTGCTGAAGGTGTATGAGCTGCTGGGAGGTGAGGAAGACATTGTCAGTCCCACTAATGAGCTCATCAAGGAAGGGCACATCCTGAAGCTTTCTGCAAAGAATGGGACAACCCAAGACCGGTACCTAATCCTGGTGAGAAGAGGTGGTGGGACTTTGCCCCCCTTCCCCTGTTTTTAACCTGACCAAGCCCAGAAAGACGGAGCCTGGCAGGAAGTCCTTGACATCCTGTAACTTTACTCTTCTTTTTAAAATCCAGTTCAATGACCGCTTGCTGTACTGCGTGCCAAAGCTGCGTCTCATTGGCCAGAAATTCGGAGTCCGCGCTCGTATCGATGTAGACGGGATGGAGGTAAAACGGGTGTGTGTGTCGCAATAGAAAGGAACCATACAGATTTCAGCTGCTAGAAATATATCAGAGTGATAACAGTGACTGTTATCAATCCAAGTTGAAACTGGGCACAATTTAATGATAGTTTAGGCGTGGGCAGAGAGGAACTCACTCACATTCAAGTTAATTCCTTGTTATTACTCTGGCTTATTTTTCTGGAATGGATAACTAAACCAGTCCTCAGCTTTAGAAAACAAGTGAAAATGTGACTGTTTACCCAGGCCTTCCACAGCCTTATCCTGGATTAATTTGGTCTCCTTTGACTATTGACTTTCTATTATTTCAAGGTTAATTGTCTCTGTTTGTCCACCATCTTTTCTATCAGCTGCTACTTATATATTGTTAATATATGATTGGTTTTCTTTTATTTGATGTTTTAAATTGGTACTCATTGCTGAATTTTATGTTCATGTTGCTTGTTGTAAGCCGGCCAAAGTAGGGGCCTTGCCACTAAGTGGACAGAATAAAAATTTAAAACATAAATAGATAAGTAAGTAAATACCTGCTTCACAAGCTCTTCAAGTTAATTTTACAACCTGATACTGTTTGATAATGCTTTTTTATTATCTTATCTGAAGCTCTTCAAGTTAATTTTGCAACTTGATACTGGTTTGATAATGCTTTTTTATTATCTTATCTTATGGTTTACATGTACTTACTTGTGTTAGCTGCCAAATTCTGTTTTTTAAGAGCGGTTTAATTTCTCTTGATGTATGCATCTTTATTGGCTATGAATCAATAAAACATTCCTATTCATTCATGAATAAATAAACCAACATAATACAGTGGTGCCTCGCATTACGACGTTAATTCGTTCCAGCGAAATCGCTGTAGAACGAAAACATTGTACGAAATAAAAAAGCCCATAGAAACGCATTAAAACCCGATCAATGCATTCCTAGGGGCTTGAAACTCACAGTCCAGCAAAGATCCTCCATAGCGCGGCCATTTTTGCTGCCCACGCAGTGAAGAATCTGTCCCAGAAAAGAGAGGGGAGCCTTTTTTTTAACCCGGCGGCCATTTTGAAACTGCCAATCAGCTGGCCAAAAATCATCGTTTTGCGAGAATCGGTTCCCCAAAGCAGGGAACCGATCATCGCAAAGTGAAATTCCGCCATTGAAACCATCGTAAAGCGATCGCTTTTGCGATCGCAAAAAATTTTGTCGTGATGCGATTTCGTAGTTAAACGGGGCGCTCGTCTTGCGAGACACCACTGTATGTTTCTGTCAGACAGTAGTTACAAGGCATGTTTGTAGCCTAGATGACACATGCATGGCTATAGTTTGATGATCTCCCAATATTGTCCTGGGCACAGCTGTTTTCACTTGATTTCAGAAGCTAAAGTGAGTTGGGCCTGGTTAAGTAGTTGGACGGGACACCCTCAGGGGGAAATCCCAGAGCTCCCCAGGGAAGCGGGGAAAGGATTCTACCCTGACAGTCTGGATTGCAGCTGCGAGTCAAGAGTTGACAGCGCTGGGCTAGATGAACCCAGAGTCTGAGTCAGGATAAGACTGCTTGTTCTTTCATGTTCCTGACTTGACTTTGCCGCTGAATATATGAACTAGCTCCGTCTGATACTTAATTTTTTGAGAAGATGTTGGGACGACTATTTTTGTTTTTAAATTTACTCTTTTTTTCTCTCTGGTGCTTTGGATGATGTTTTTAACTAAACAACCAAGCCCCTTTTACAAAACAGTTGGGACAGACTTTAGACAAGCGTGCCACCAAAAAACGCAGAAGTGTTAAAGGTGAAGACTCAGCCATGAAAACTAACACAACAGATCGTTTTGTTTGGGGTATGTCATGTATCCCTTCAAAACTCCTCAAATAGAAACGTGTATATTCTCTGTTGATATTTGAGGTATATCTGGGTGACGTTTCATATTCCCAATTAGCTGAGTCAAGGGGAATTGAGAAGGGGAACAATCCCCCACCCCAGGAAGTCATCCCTGAATCAGAAGTTAGGTCTGGAACGCAACCATGATGGCTGGGAGATTTCTAGATGGAGTTGCCTGGAAAAATAACTTTTCTAAGTTCTACAGAGTCTGACTTGTTTGCACATGAAAGTTGCTTGTGATCCTAAGGATGAGGCCTCATGGATGAACTAAACCTCTTTTTCTTATTTCTCTACAGCTGAAAGAGACCAGCAGCCTCAATGTGCCCCGGACCTTCCTTGTATCAGGGAAGCAGCGATCCTTAGAACTTCAGGCCAGGTACAGCCAGTGAACCCACTCAGTGACCGTTCCTGGTCGTGAAAAGTGAAAAGAATGGCCACCCCTTGGACAATGTGGCTTTGACCTCCCATGGCTTGCTGCTCTTTCTTCCTATCTTCTAGTCCAGTGGTCCCCAACCTTGGGCCTCCAGATGTTCTTGGACCACAACTCCCAGAAGCCTTCGCCACCACCTCTGATGGTCAGGATTTCTGGGAGTTGAAGTCTTAAGAACTTCTGGAGGCGCAAGGTTGGGGACCACTGTTCTAGTCTTCACAGGTGGATGTGATGTTCTGCAGATGTGACGGACTACAGTTTTTTTCTATCATCTCCAGCCAACATGACAAAGCCACACTGCCCAAAGAGGGAGCAACAATGGCTGGAGGAATACCACCTTCATCCCACCACACCAGCCCAGGCCACATCGGTCACGGGCAACCTCTGGCCTTCCAGATGCTGATGAAATAATCTGCAGCCATGTTGCCCACAGTAACATCCAAACTCTGCAATCTGTACAAATTGTGGAGGTTGGCGTGATTTCCCACGGCCAGACAACAACATCCGGAGGGCCACATGCTTCCCAGTTCCTGACTCTACTGCAAACACCCCGTTAGCATGTCCCCTAACATGTTCTGTTATTCCTCCTTAGGACTGAAGAGGAGAAGAGAGACTGGATCCAGGTAACTGCTGGTCTTTTGTACCTGCTACATAATATTGCCTTTTACCTCTGGGGAAGTTAAAGGAAGTAGAGGACTCGGCCTTTCCTTTCCCGCACCTCCAGCCCCACAAAGCCCTTTTCTGCTTGCTTTGGGAGAGGGGGGAGTGAGAAGAAGAGAGGCTTCTTTTCCTTAGCAGTGGAGAAGATGGGACGTCTCTGCCATGTTTGCAAGGCTGGCTTTCAAAGACTGGCTGGGGAAAAAAGTGGTAGGTTTTATAAGGCAAGTCATACCAATTCAGTCAGGAATAATGTGCTGTGGAATAGCCTTGGGCACTTCCAGTTGGAGGGCTCCTATTAGAAGCTAATATGTAGCCGTTCTGCCTCTTCTTCCTTGGAATGATTTTTAACATTTATTTTTGGTTTAAAGAAAAGGAACAGTCAACACAGTGGGAAAACCTAGGAGGGTTGTGAATGGAAGATGCTGATGTCTAGACTCTGCCGACACACTAACACACTAGCAAAATAAAAGCCTTGCCTGGTGCCGAGTCACTGTCCTGACAATGTGGGTTGTGACACCTGTAGACCATGTTGAAGCAGGCACTCCCGTATTGGTGTACAGTTGGAGGAGCGTTTGCATCATTGCCTCCATTCCCGTAAGACAGGGAGAAAGTGAGGCTGAGAGCAGGGCTAAGTGAGAGATGAGGGTGAAAAAAGGGAAGAATTATTGTCTCCTCCATCTAGAATTATTGCCTCCTCCTCCTCCTGCTAGTTGCCAAAGAGAAACTGGAATGAGATAAATGTGTGTTTTGGTACAAGGGTTCTCTAAGCTTGGCAATCTCTTGCTTGCCCCACTGAAGGATTCTGCTGCTTCCTTTTTGCTTCGGTGCTCCGTTTATATGTAACCACAAATACCCTGTTGTTTAAACCATCAGGCGATACAGGCAACCATCCAGAAGCATGAGCAGACTTTAGAGATGTTCAAGCAGCTGCTCAGCGAAGATGAAACACCACCCAATTCCCCAGTGAGTTCCCCCCCTTCAATCTTTTTCTTTCTTCTCGACCCTGTTCTCTGTTTGAAAGTAGGGGAGGACTGACTCTTTGGTCAGATGAGGATAACTGCAGCCGCAGGGTTTTAAATTTTTGTCCAGACGTAGCCTTGTTCAGGCTTATTTCTAAGTCTGTGTCTCCCTCTGAAATTAAAAGAAAAATCATCTCCAGCATCGGAATTCTGCAATCTGTAGTTCTGCAACCAATTATGCAGGTTGGCATGATTTCTCCAATGTTGCATACAGTGCTCTGCTTTACAGAGAGGGGCAAATACTGGACAGGGAACTAAAGGATTCCTTCTCCTTTCCTGCCAAGCTGTTTTGGAATCTTACTCACTTATTCGTCTGGTTTGGAAGATGCACAAGGCATTGCTTGCACATTTGTAAGTGTCACTCTGCTGTAATGCAGTCTAGAACCTTGCAAATTTTAGAATGTGCCTATTTCCTGAAAATGTGGACTGAATTATGAGCCAGTGTTACATTCTGAAGCTTCTGGGGGCTCTCCTGACTGCCTTGTGAGATTATATAGAGCACAGGCGTCAAACTCAAGGCCCGTGGGCCGAATCCGGCTCACTGGGCCGTTTCATGTGGTCCTCGCGGTGTTGCCTGATACTATGCAGCATACAATTTAGGCAGGCGCCTTACTCAGTCACTCATAGTGCTCCGTAAAGACGCTGGGAATCTGCCCAGCAGGACTTCTAATCCCAGCATTCCAAACAGCAACGAGTCAAAAAGTGCAGCCGCTTGGGCAGCGTACAGCACCTTGGGGAATGTAGTCCTCGCTATTGCCCACTCCCATTCTTACGGCTCCCAGTGAGGTGATGGTGTATGTTTCTGTCAGACAGTAGCAGGGGCCATCTCTGCCTCCTCTCCCGCATCAGCTTATGAAAGCAAGTGAGGAGCCAGGTGATAACGAGGGCTGAGGGAAAGGTGGGAGACTTCTGTGAATAATTAACAAAACAAACAAAAACATGGGTGGGGCTGTGGAGCGGGCGTCAACGGAGGTTATTAAAACTCACTTTTCAATAAATTGTACAATAGTTGTATATCTGCTTGCCATCATTTCTAGATTTTGATCACAAAATAGGTAAAGGTTCCCCTTGACAATTTTTGTCCAGTCGTGTTCGACTCTAGGGGGCGGTGCTCATCCCCGTTTCCAAGCCATAGAGCCAGCGTTTGTCTGAAGACACTCTTGCATGGTCACATGGCCAGTGCGACTTAGACACGGAAGGCTGTTACCTTCCCACCGAGGTGGTCCCTATTTATCTACTTGCATTTGCATGCTTTCGAACCGCTAGGTTGGCGGGAGCTGGGACAAGCGACGGGAGCTCACTCCGTTGCGTGGATTCGATCTTACAACTGCTTGGTCTTCTGACCCTGCAGCACAGGCTTCTGCGGTTTAGCCCACAGTGCCACCACGTCCCTATAGACTTTGATCATAGGCTTTTACTATTACTGATTTTAGTAATAAGCTAGTTATTGCTTATTACTAAAACCAGTAATAATCGAATGAGGAGGATTATATTTAATATGACAAAGAGTAGATACATTTATATAGTCTTACAGATACCACCTGCCCTTTGAGGGCAATCATAATGCCGATGCAGCCCAAGATGAAATTGAATTTGATACCTCTGAATTAGAGCATCCAGTGTTTTTCTGAAAGTTGAGGTTTCAACTGGTTAGAAGGAGAAATGGTTTCTTCTGGATGCACCGTTTGGAGTGTGCATTATCTGTCAGACTACTGATTGGTCATCAATCATTCAGTTGATCGATTGGATTGATTTATCTTGTTGCTCTCCAGCATTCCTAACATCTTTCACCTTGCTGTCCTACCCTGCAGGGGTGTGAACTGGGCCGGCGGGCACCCACGCCGATCCGGGAAAAAGAAGTCACCTTGTGTATGCAGTGCAAGGAATCCTTTAATGCCCTCACCAAGCGGAGACACCATTGCCGGGCTTGTGGCCACGTAAGAGTTTGCGGCAGTGAGAGAGACTGTGTGTTTTGCATTTCATGTGGCCGCACAAGCAGACACATGCTCTTTGTTTTCATTTTAACGGCCTCCTTGGAGAGAGGGCTGGGTACACAGTGCTATGCATGAATAAGCCAATGTCGTCTGCGTGTTAACTCTTGTTCAGAGCTGCTTTTTGGCCTGTAGGTTTTTTGAAAGCTGACTGCCTCCAGGGAATTTTTCCTCCCTGACTAATCTGTGTTGTCTGCCATGAAATCTTGGTATGTTTGGAGAGGGTCGCAAAGGATGGTCTAGGAATCTAGGCTGAGGAGCAGATCTCTTCAGATGCTCAGGGTCTCTGTGGCTCCTTCCATCCTCAGCAAGCATGGTCTGTGGTCAGTCAGATGGGTCTTGAAAAAGAGGAGCAAGTTTTAAAAGTGTTGAACAAAGGCTCATCTCAACCTACTGTATGACACATACACACCAGCATTGTAACGTGCCTATTGGGGCTCATACCTATGGCAGGCAGGGCTAGCTCAAGACATTTGGGTATCTGAGATGGATTAGCAAACGAGAGCATCCCGTCCTCCCGATGAATGTGCAGAGTATGCAAGATTCCTTGACTTAGTTTGCTGCCATAAGTAGAAAATCCACCAAGCATTTTTTACTTAGGAGTCAGAAGACAGCAATAAGAATTAAAACACCAAAGAGTTTGCTGCCTTTTCATGACTTTCCAAATCAGCTGCCTCTCCCTGTCTAATGGCAGGGCCGGTGCTACTCAAATGCCTGGCCACAAGGCCTCTAGGCTGGGGTGAGCAACTTGCAGATGTTTGTGGGCCTCATCACTCTGTAACAACCTTGTGGGCCTGCCTTTGCTGCTTCAGCCCTCCCAATGCCTCACATTATCCTAAAAAAAGAAAGAAAGAAAAGAAAGAAAAAGTGTCTCACATTATCCTAAAAAAAAGAAAGAAAGAAAGAAAAAAGCAATCTTCCAAAGGAGATGCAATTATCTATTCCTCTAGGATGTTGTTGCTGAGTCACTCCAAGTAAGCAGGCAGAGGAAGGGAGGAAAGGAAAGGAAGCAGTAGGTTCTGTCTGCTTTATACCAGCAGCCTTCCCCAATCTAGCACTGCTCATATTTGTAGCCCTGCGTCTCCTGTAATTCCACATTTGGTGTAAACAATGGTCCTGGATGATGGGCATTGTAGTCTAATATGTCCGGAGGGCACCAGAATAGGGAAGGCTGCCTCCTTCCACCCACCCACCCTGGGGATTGTGACAGTGAGCCCAAATAGAGAAACAAGCGAAGAGTCCAGGGTGAGAAGAAGCTGACAAGAAGAGATGAGCCTGCTAGGAGGAGAGGAGCTCAAAGCCCCCTGTAAACCTGGAGTCAGCGCTGAAACGCAGCCATTTATGCTTTTGGTGTTGAAGTTCTTCTGGGTAGTTCTGTGGCAGATGTAGGTATGGCTTTTGGACTACAACTCCCACAGTTCAGCAGTTGATTGATACTAGGAGCCGTAGTCCAACCCAATAAAGGATTCTATACAGTCTAAATCCTCCTCTCTGGGGATCTTCCCTTTACCAGTGTTAGTTTTCGGTGCAGACAGACAAATTCCCCCACTACAGTGGTTCTAAATGAGCTTGTCGGTCCCAGGCGGCGTGCCATGGCAAAGATTGTCTTGCCCTCTAATTTCAGGTCGTCTGTGGAAAATGTTCGGAGTTCCGGGCCCGCCTGGTCTACGACAACAACCGCCCCAACCGTGTCTGTACTGACTGCTACACAATGCTGCAGGGCTCCCCTGCTAGTCCCATCCCACACCCCAATACACCTCAGCGCCGGAGATCCATTCTGGAGGTAAGATATGCCCTCCTAGCTCTATGAGGCCCTTCTGGCCGTGAAGCACCTCCTTCTTTGGAAACCAGCTCTTTCAGTGGTTGGTTTCCCAATAAATTCCTCCTTCCTTTGTCTTGTAAAGGCATTGGCCAAGACTTTCTGCTCCCATGGTCCTTTCCGTATTTCCTCAGTGCTCAACTTGCCATGAGGTTTCTCTTTAGGATGCTGCACCTGGGAATGGTTTCCTTGTTAGCTGATGAAAGAGAAAGCACATAAATCTAGTGGTTGTGTTTCCACGATCACAATGCTGGGGTAGTGGAAGAATAGAAAAGCCCCACCCTATGAAAAGAAGTTTTGGATTTTATCTTCCTAGTAATTTTAGAAGTGTCATTTGGTGTATTCACTCAATTTTTGGAAATTGTTTCTAAGTTTCTAGTCCTCCTGGATACTGACAGACTGGGGTCGGCTGTGGAATATATGCTGGTTCTGTAGCTTGAGATGCTCCTAACTCAAGATGTTCTAGAAAATTTTTGTCCACACAAAAATTCTGTGTTGACATTGCTGATTATACATGTATTATTTGGGGTATAAATATTTTATCTGAAGAATCTGCTAAAGATATTAATATCTGGGAGACGTTGCATGGTCAAACTGCTTGCTACTTTAAAGATATAGTCTGCAGCTCAAGAGTGCTTTTTATGAGCAGTCGCTCCCAGCCTTGGATGACCCTGGTGTTCTTGGACTGCAATTCCCAGAAGCCTTCACCACCAGCTTTGCTGGCTGAGATTTCTGGGAATTGCGGTCCAAGAATACCAGGGTCACCCAAGGCTGGGAACTGCTGCTCTAGAATATACAAGTAAGACTTTGATTTAGATTGGAAGCAGCATGAAGAAAAGAGGTTTTAAAATCCATTCATCCAGATTTTATCTGGAAGGTTGCTGCACAAGGAGGGTTTTTTTTTAAAGTAAAAAATACACAAAGCAAAAAAAAAACCTCACTGTAGTTGGTGCTGATTTCTAGATAAAATCAGATTTAGGGGGAAAAAATTAAGCCTTCCTCCATCTGTGTGTGCCAGTCCAAATCTGGTTTGGGGTTGTAAAGGAGGAAAAAAAAATCTGCACCTGCATGCCAAATTTTTGATGCCACATGTACTTTGACCCTAAAGTGGGGAGGGGTGTTCCCTGCATTGCCTTTCCTCCCTTGCCCCTTCTTTTTCCTGCACACCTACCTGCCCACCCGTATCCTTTCCATGGCACTTTTTGCATAACTTTTCCAATTAAGACAAGATCTCTTAAGCTTGCCTTCATAGCATTATTTTAAATGTACTTTTACTGTGTGTGCGGGTTCGACTTTAGGCTCCTCTTTCGGTCCAAATAAATCAGTAGATTTTTGTTGCTTCAAAACAGGGGAAAGATTTATTGGTGCATTTAACAATAAACAAGTGTCTGTGACATGATTGTGAGCCTTTTCTCCTTCTGCCAACGCGTCTAGAAGGGGTCTCCAATCTTCAAACAGGAACGGGTTGCCATAACTATTATTCCATGGTCCTGGTAAATCAGCAGGGACCCAATCTCTCATGGTCTGCCCTGTAGCGCCTTCCAGCAAGGGCAGGGTCTCGTCATCCCTATCGCCATTCCACAGGGTTCATCCCTCGGGGTCTCGATCCTACCAGAGTTGTCCCTGTAGCTCTTCTTCCTCAGCTCTCTTATTCTCCATTCTAGCCTCTCTCTCCTTTCTCTCTCTACTCTTTCCTTCTCATTCCTTACTCATTCCCAGCCTGCCGGCAACTGACTTTCCTTCCTTTTTATCTCCCCTGTTCCTGCCTCAAACTCCACTCTCTTTTTCCTCTCTTTTCCCGCCTTTTCCTCCTGGACCTCTCTCATTGTTACACCCAGCACGTTCTGAGTCAACTCGCCTATTTCTGTCCCTTGCTGAGCTTCTGCCACAGGTCCTGGCCCTGGCTGGGCACTCTCCTCCTTATTCTTGTTGCGGGGGAGGGACGGCTCTCCAGTGAGTGGGGCATCCCTCTCACTTTCTGTCTCACATACTGTTTCTATAAAATGAACTTTGTGGCAAATGAGTCAGCTGTTGGTTAACTTACTGGAGCAGATCAAAATCACACCGCAGCTGGCAGCAGAGTGCTGTACTTGACAAGCCTTTGATTTGCTGGAACAAAGGAGCAGTTTTGTTCTTACTAGCTTAAAAAGTGATAAAAATACTTTGCACAAACACATCTATAGTTACCTATACGTACATATGTTCGGTTTTTATCCTAGTTCCTCTGAACAGCTCATGTTTCCTTCCCGTTTTTTAATGCTCACCACAGTCCCGTGAATGAGGTTGATGCCGGAAGAGATTATAATTATCCTAAGTTCATGAAGTGACCTTGGTGGCTAATCAAAGATTTGAATCTTGGTCTTTCAAGTCCTAGCCTGACACTCTTAAGCTAGGATTTAGGAACCTCTGGCCCATGAGGCTGCTTCCCCTGGCCAGGCCTATCCTAGTGCATCAGAATAGGGTTATTCCCACTGGTTAGTTTCCAGAGAAAACAACCTGGATCTCTGGTATTCACCCAATGCCATGTTCTTCCTGACTAGGAAGATGCTGGGTGGGGGGCAAAGCTCAGAAACAACCTCATGGCATTTGGGGGGCTTGACCGTGCCTCATGACGTCAGCTTGCCCACAGAGCGATTGAAAGCATTTTACCTACGTCACTTTGGTTCCCAATTTTTGCCATGGTTACAACACTACACTAGTTTTATATAATCCTCTACACAGCAGAGACGAACATGCCACTCCAGATGTTTTTGGCCCTCAGCTCCTTTCAGCCATCGTTGTTGCCTGATGAATTGCATGCTAAGGGGCCAAAAATGTCCTTTTCTGATGTACATAATATCATAATTCTTCTTTCTGAAGATAGGCCAATAGGAAAGCAAATGTGCTTGGAAATCTGAACAGTACAGTGTCTCTCCATTTTTTTCTGGAGATGCTGCAGGTGTACCAGATGTGAGCTAGATCTTCCTGTGTTGTTGGGCTTTAACTCCCAAAAGCTCTTGTCTTTATGGCCAATGGCATTGTGGGAGTTACAGGCCAAAACCCTTGGAGGTCCCAAAAGGTTCTCCATTCATGATATACACATCCTCTACCCACACCCTCACTATACAGGAGCCACCAGACTATTAGTGGGCCAAATATACATATTTATTTTAGAAACTCTACCCCACATTTTCTTTTTCTCCAGAGAACCCATGGCCAACTCCCTTTTAACCTCTCCACCAAGGGGTTTGTCTGTGAAGTTGGTTTGTCTGTTCTGCCTGTACTTCATTAGGCATCTTTCAGTCTCGAAAGACTATGGTAACGTGCTCTATATGGAGGACTTGAAACAGCGTCTAGTGTGGCTGAGGAGGCCAATTTGAGAGTGACAATCCCTTCCACACTCTACAGCTGAGTAAGAATGGGAATTTGGGTAATCCTAGTTCTACTCTGACACCATTATTTATATTGTTTATTAGTCACATACATATCCTGCCTTTCCTCCACTGATTTCAAGGGTGACATGCTTGTGGCCTTTCCACTTCTCTGTTTTATCCTCTGTGAGGTAGTCAGGCTGAGCGAGAGAGAGAGTGAGAGAGAGAGTGTGTGTCTGGCCCATGGCCATTTCATAGGTTTCATGGCTTGAAAGAGGTGAATCCCTATGTCCCAAGTCCTAGTGCTGCCCCCTAATCACTACCCCATGCTAATTCTCCCTTAATGACCTGTGTAGACAGAAGTCATTCTCAATAGCCAGGAGAATGTCTCATAACCCTTTCTCTGTCTTTGGCCTTTCTGCAGAAACAGGCTTCTGTGGTAGCAGAGAACAGTGTGATCTGCAGTTTCTTGCACTACATGGAAAAAGGAGGGAAGGCTTGGCACAAAGGCTGGTTTGTCATCCCGGAAAACGAACCCCTGGTACTGTACATCTATGGAGCTCCTCAGGTATGGCAACCTTCTGCCTTCGCCTTGCTTCAGGAGGCCTCCTGTCCCCATTGGTTACTCTTGAAGGTGTGGGGGGGGGAGGCAACTTGAGTAATTTAGGAAGGAATTAAAGGAAACTTATAGGGAGCGGGGAGAGGGCCTGCCCAACAGAACAGAAGGGCTGAGGCTTGGCTGTTGTCCTTCAGTAAGCAGCAGATTTAACAGCGCTTAAAATGGCTACAGGAAGTATTTGATTTTTAAGAGATCCTCCCTCTCCGTGACCTGAGAAGTAAGGGGAGGGCAGGGTTGCTGGCTCACTCTGTGCAAGCTGAGTTGTACTTTAACCCAGTGGTTCTTAATGTGGGCGATAATGCCCCCCAGGGGGCGATTTCATTTTTTCAGGGGGGCGGTAGAACGAAACGGGGCGGTGTGGGGGCGCTGGGGCAGCAGGGATGTTACTTTTTGGGGGACATTTCATTTTCTTGGAATTTAATTTTGTTTTCAGGGGTCATTGGATTTTAGTGTCATAAATAAATAAATAAATAAACAAACAAACAAACAAACAAACAAATAAATAAATATCATCACCGCAGGGAGGGGGGGGCGATGATAACTTCCTCAATGGCTCAAGGGGGCGTTTCTTTCAAAAAGGTTAAGAACCACTGCTTTAACCCACCATGCTCCCCCTGTGTCCATCAATGAACAAACCAAAAGGCTCATCTAATAGGACTGCTGATTAGGATGCCTTGCAAAGCTCTTTCTTTTTGGCCACTATTGGGAAGAGCGAATGGTCCCGGTGAGGCAGGCAATGGATGTAGAAGAGTCACTTTTTAAAAGAAGCTTTTCGTGCCCTTTGATCTTGAGTGGTCTGTTGCCCCACAGGATGTGAAGGCCCAGCGGTCAATGCCTCTGATTGGCTTTGAGGTCAACCTTCCGGAGCCCGGTGAGCGAGTGGATCGTCGCCATGCCTTCCGGATCAGCCAAAGCCACCTGTGCTGGTATTTTAGCCCCGAGACCGAGGAGCTACGGCAACGGTGGATGGAGGTGCTGAGCCGGGCTGGCCGTGGAGAAGAAGCCAAGGGACCACCTTCCATCCAGGAGGCTGATGAGGATACAGAGGCAGAAAGAACCTAGATGTGATGCCTGGGGGTTAAGGAATAATTGCTTCTGCCCACCTTGGGACACTTGGTCCTAATTCTCCAACCAGTATACTTGAAACATTTTTCATCTTGTTTTTTCTCTCTCTCTCTCTCTCTTTGGCACTTTCCCATCCGCCTTTTCTTTTCTCAGCATCAGGATGGCCCACCTCCTGCCTCTGTGATGACAGAGACTTGTCCTCAACGTTCTCTGCTGTTCCTGGCGGCAGAGATGCTCCGCATGCCCTGAGGTTTGTTCTAGGCCAGTTCCTAGTCCCAGCTGTAGCATGTGGGCACCCAACACTTCCCTCTCCTCTCTTGCTTCCTCCTCCCTTTCAATTGTACACAGGGAGACGCTGATCCAAGAAGGTGGATTTCTTCCTTCCAACACCCCTGCCCTATGGTTTACATTTGGACCAAGATCTGTTCTTCCAGGCTCCACTGCTTCATTTAGCACTTAACGAAAATGTCTTTACAGCAGTGACTTTGTAAGATGGTTGTGGGGGAGCAAATGGGCATGGAACCCGCTCGCGTCAGCAGAGGGCTGTGCGTTTCCTCCCAAGCGTGAATCTGCCTCCTATGTTATTCTTCTCTTCATCTTTGTGAAATTTAAGTGGAATGTTGTCTGTCATTTCTTCATACTGTCAGCCACTTCTCAGATAGAAGAAGGCTGAGCTCAGCGCCCTTTCTTCCGTTAGGACCTGAAATGTCTTGCCTCCAGGAAGAGAATCAGCATTAACATCATGCAGACTGGGAGACAACGGGCAGTTTTGGAGAAGAAAAGGATAGGCAAGGTCGCCTTACAGAAAAACCCAGTCTTCTACCAAAAATGTGGACCATATTCCTGAATTCCCACATTCCAATGAACGCTCTTCCTTCCTCTGCCTTTTTTTATTTGTTGGATTTCAAGGGCACAATCTACCGAAGATTTCTGTTTATGTATTCCCTAAAGTGACGGGACTTGCACAACCCTGCAGACAGTAGTCATATAAAGCCCACTCTTCTAGTCTGTGGCTGGGTTTAAAAAAAAAGAATTGGGAAATTATGCTCTTAGGTGTGCTTTCAAACTGTAAGAATGCAGCAAAATGGTGTAATGATTAAGGAAAGGAAAACTGTAGAATCAGCTGTCTGAATGATGAATGGATCAGCTGAAGGAAGTCTGGGAAATGCCATCTTCAGGTCCTTTTTTATGAGGAACAGGAAACAGAGCCATAGCAAGAGGGTAAAAAGTTCTAAATGGAAGAGCCTGTCCTAGTCTTGCCTCCTGCTACGAAAGAGGGATGTGTGCTTGACTCCCTTTGCTTTTAAGTCCCACTCACTTCAATATGAATGTAAGCCTTGCCTTGGTACACCACAGCAAAGTCTATTCATTAAGGGAGAGGTGCTTAAACTGTGGCCCATCTGATGTTTTCTGCTCAAGTGGCCCCTGAAAAAGCTGCAAATAGTCCAAGCATGTTCTTGACTCCCCACCCCACCCCTTTTATCACAGCATTCAATGCTGTAATTGCCAGGATCAGGTGATGGAACCGGCTGACTTGAGAAAGTGATTTATAACCCTAGTGGGGGCTCGTCAGTTCCTCCTGTTTTTTTTTTTTTCACTTAAAGGGGTCCTGCTCAGAGGTTTCAGTTAGAACCCATGAGTTCTGTAATATGGTGCTGGGTTTGAAGGTGCTAAAGAAAGGTGTTACTAAAACGGGCTTTGTATATGCATATGCCTATATTTGTTAATAACTGGTCTTGCAAAATTCCCCGCAATTTTCATTTGGTCTCCAGGTGGGACGTGTACGTATGAGAATCACTGTAGCAGTGTGGGACAAATGATTTTGGGGATTTCACTTGCAGGGTATGAAAACAATAGCCATTCTCCTCTTCTTTTTCCTTAACATCTGATGTAGCATCCTTACTACATCGCACAAAGTCAGGGCTGGGGAACCTCAGGCTGTTGGGCCGAACACGCTCCTTCCGGAGCCCACCGTGGTGCTGTAGGATGGCTGAGAATGGTGCTTACCCCCTTGTTATGATATGATTGGCAGTTTCTAGCCTTTTATATGGAGTTTCTCTTTTCTGAGATGCTTGGCATGCTTTTCCTAATACAGTCATGCCCCGCTAGACGATTACCCCACTCTACGACGAATCTGCTTTATGCTGACATTTTTGTGATCGCTTTTGCGATTGCAAAACGATGTTTTAAATGGTTTTTTTTTGCTGTGCAATGATCGGTTCCTTGCTTCGGGAATCGCGTATGGAGGATCTTCGCTGGACAAGCAGGTTGCTTCGCGAATCGCGTATGGAGGATCTTTGCTGGACGAGCAGGTATTCAGCCCATTGGAATGCATTGAACAGTTTTCAATGCATTTCAATGGGTTTTTTTTATTTCGTTTGACGATGTTTTCACTCTACAGCGATTTCGCTGGAACGAATTAACATCGTCAAGCAAGGCACCACTGTACTATTAAGCTAAATTATGCTAATATTTTTGGATACCATTCCTCTGCTTTGGGCCCTGCCACTTTATAGAACTGAGTTCTTGAAAACTTCTTTGAAACTAAATTTGATCATTAGGGCAATGAGGTTCTCTCCCTTGCAATTGTAGCTGCAGTTTTTTACAGTGACCACACAAACCAGAGTTTGGCCCTCTTCAGGTGTTAATGCTTCTAGTTTCCCCAGTACACTTTAGAAGGCAGTGCCAATCTTTGCTTCTTCACATAATGACAGAACCCAAAGATCCATGCTCATGTCTAGAACCTATGTGAGAATGAGAAACCTTTTCAGATTTCTCACTCATCAGATAACTAAAGCAACAACAGCAGAGGAGGACTGGTATTCTAAGTGTATTGAAGAAATGGGGAAATTTTCATGTTTTGTTTTTTAGATTATTTCAGGGCATACCTTTTGGGTTTTTGTTTTTGTATATTGGCCTTTTAGTTTAATATGAAAGGAACCATCTCTTTTGAATCATTTTAATTCAGGTTTCTCCATTCATTATTTTTGGTAGTCCAAAAGCAATAAAGAACCCTTAAAAACTTAAAAACCCAGAAAAGCAGGAGCAAGCTAGGCAATGGAGAATCAATCCAAAACCCCTAAAGAACATTTAAACTACTCTAAAAATGAAGAGGCAAGACAACAATCAGTCTACTCCAAAAGTAGGCAACAGTGCATGAGAAATTAAAAGAAATTCACCAAAATATACACCTTTAACAGAATAAACTAAGTAAATAATTTTTAAAAAATCAGTCTAACAGGTAAAGCACCCCAAGAGGAAAAATAGCAAAATAAAAACCAGACACAGCCTCTGTGCAAAAACAACACGCACAAAAAAACCGAGCAATAGAGGAAAAACTCACAAAAAACAGTAAATGCCCCCAAACTACTATAATGTGGGAAGAATTCCGCCCCCCCCCCATTGATTCCTTTTCTTCTGAGCCCGGTATACAAAACAAGATGAAGACCCCAGCAGGAGCTACACAGATTCCCATAAGACTGAAACCTGAAAGCACAATTTAATTATAGCAAACACAGTGGCTTCACAGCTAGCTGTAAACAGACAAGCCTTTTCTGTAGCAGGCTGCTTGTGGAGGAGATGGCCCCAATGGGTTATACCAAAATAAGTGGTCATCATTACAAAGGAAAAATGAAACCCAATGCATGCCCGTATATTTTCTCAAGACAGTTATTTCCTCTTGAAAAAATGCACTTGAAAAACCTGTGCTTCTTGAGTTTTATACTGATTCTTACTGGACCATCTTAGAGGAGCTCAAAGCTAGTTATATTAATGTTCTTCCATCCCCTTTTCACTGGTACTGTTTCAATTTACAAGTGTGCATATGTATGGGAAGTCAGGATCCCTCGTTTTCTGTAAGTTTCCTGATGGTGTTGCTGGTACCAATTGCATTTCTTTGCCCTCCCTGTCCCCTCTGGTGTAGTGCTAGTGCATGTAACTTTTATATTAAAAAAAAAAGACTCAGTATTAAGGGATATACAAAATCTTACCAAAATAATATTTTATTGTTATTCATGTACAGTGGCTGGCCACTACAAAGGTTAGGGAAGGGGCATTTCTATGGATAGAAGTGACCTATTTCCACAACCGAGATCCATGTATTGTCCATTTTACTTTCTAGTTCCATTGTTGTATTTGTTTTCCAGTGTCCATTATTTTTTAAATACAGGATTTTGTGTTTTTTTGTTCTGTTATACTCATGTCTTTCTTTTGAATAAGGATGAAAACATAATTGTCCCCCTCCTGGGGTAGGACAGAGAAGAGGGTAAAGCTAGCTTTGTTTTTGTCTAAAAAAAAGTCAGCCTGTTTCTTGAAGGGGCCGAGAAAAGGTCATGACCCTCTTGAAGATACTGCTTCAGACCAGACAGCAGATGAGCAGGGCCTGGAGGAAGGACTTCCACTGAGATACACCCTGCACCGCTGCTCGCAGCAACTGTATTCAAACCCTACAAAGATAGCTGAAGGAGAAAATGGTCTCCACTTGACAAAGAAGAAACTGCTTTACACCCTTCGACCTGGATCCTGCCCACTGAAGAAGAGTTTCTGCTCCATTAGAAGCAAAAATGCCAGGAGCAGAAAGTGCACAATAAGGGATAGTGGGTCCATGGGGTGGGTATGCCCACTATGCAGAGACCAAAAAAACACTGCCAGCAAAGCGGCTTCTTTTCACACTTCACAAAGAAATATCCAGGCGTGCAGTTCCACTTCCCTACAGCAGTCCAAGCAGAACGCCTGCAGACCTAAGAGTTTTGCCTTTATACTTCATTTCTTTTTCTTCCTTACTAAGGTCCAACCATCTTCTGCATCGGCATCTGTGGAAGGAGGAGGGCTGGGCTGGGGTCCATTTATACTCTGAGAGGTATTACAATCCATAGCCTGGTTGGGAAAGAAGTGAGGAAACGTTAGGGACTGGCTTAGTTCTTAAAGGAAGGATGGCAGATCTGGGGGCCATTTTTTGTCTCCCCTGAACAGCCTCACGCTCCTTTCATAAGTAGCAAACTGGTGGAAATTTAAAAACAACAACAACAATATGCACTGTTTGCTTGAAATGTATTTTAGAGCCCAAAATGCAATAAGCAGTTTAAAATAAGGTTTCTGCTTCCTTTAAATGCCTTGGGTCTTCTTCCAGCAGTGCATCTCGCTACCAAAATTGGGTTGTGTGGTTTTTTGGGATGCTAATCCAGGGGGACTGGAGCCTGTAGAGCACAAAATTCACACCCTCATCTTAATGACTGACCAATACAATTTCAGCTCATGTCTTTGTAAAGTTTTTGTCTTTCTAAATTTAGTGCCTTTGTCTTTGTAAATTAAAAGGGGTAAAATCCGAGGAGACAGAAGTTCTATGACTTTCCACAAAATTTTAGTTTAAAGAACTACTGGATTAAGAACCAGTTTGTAATCACTTGACAAGTTGACCAGGAATACAGGCAAAAGATTTCTGTCCTTGGGAGCTGTTCTGCCCCATGAAGTCTACAGTGGTGCCTCGCTTTACGATTGTCCCGTTTAACGAAGAAACTGCATTACGACGAACTTTTTGCGATCGCAAAACAATGTTTCCTAGGGGGGAATTTCGCTTTGCGATTATCAGTTCCCTGCTTCGGGAACCGATTCTTTGCAAAACGACGATTTTCCAACAGCTGATCGCCGTTTTCAAAATGGCCACTGGGTAAACAAAATGCCCCCCCGCTGTTTTCTGGGATGGATTCCTCGCTGCACAGGCAGCGAAAATGGCCGGTGTTTACAGCCCTTTGGAACGCATTAAACAGGTTTTAATGCGTTTCAATGGTTTTTTTCTTTTCGCATTACGATGTTTTTCTACAGCGATTTCGCTAGAATGAATTAACGTAATGCGAGGCACCACTTTAGGTTGTCCTTTCATGGTGTTCAGCTATATTGCTCTTCTTATCCCTACCTATCCCATTGAGAACCAGTACTTAGCAAAGTCTGCAAATTAGGGAAGCCAGCTGGCACACAGACTGACGAGTAAGCCCAGCTATAACTTTTTAAAGATCAATCTGTGCAGTACCTCTTCCTCGGGCTCCTCTTCACTACTGCTTGCTTCAGCTGGCTGGGATTTTGCTGCTGCCATCCTAGCTTCTTGCTTCTTCTGAGCCAGGCGTACAATGGTTTCATGCACTGCTGCTTCATCTCCTCGCTGGCACTGGTTGAAGAACAGGCACAGTTGCTGGCTTACCTGCCAGAAGGGAAGAAGGGCAAATCCTTTTCAGCAACAAGCACAAGAACTTTTCCCTGGCCAAACCCCTCTGGTATTAAAACCACATATTGATTCCATCCCACTAGACTACACAGAGACCCTAGGATGGAGAACCAAGGCCAGGCCCGCTTGGCCTTCCAAGTATCTCTGGGTGTTCACTGCTGAAGACAGTAGTCAGAATGGTATTAATAAAAGCACGTCAAAATCAACATAGCCAGAGTTAGGAGAAGGAGAAGAATGCTTTTATACCATTAGTAGGCCATATCTGGGAAGAGCCAAAATTACCAGCTGCCAAACTTGCTCTGCCAAAGTAGTTCATCAATGCTGACTGGACTGAACCTGGGCTAGCAACAAAACTTGGGAAAGTTATGATGTATGAAGCACAGCTTCCAGGCTCATTCTTCAGTATGGCCCCATTGGCTAGGGGTGTGTGCGTGTGCGTGTGCGTGCATGCGGTGTAAACTAATGCAAAAAAAAAAAAAGGGACACTTCCGAGCACTGACCAACAATCTGGTAGCGATGAGCTGATTTGGGCCAAAATATGTTGCTCTAAGGGTAAGTCACCCAAGTTTCTGACATACATGCCTTCTAATGATGATATAAAGGCCACTATGTCTGGGACCAGAAAGGAAAACTAACAGCCGTCTGGATATTGTTGGGCTGCACTTTCTATCAGCACTAGCCAGCCTTGAGTGATGGTGGGAGGTGCAACCCAAAATAGCAGAAAACCATGTACTTCCTACTCTTAGTGCATGGATATCTTTATGCTGGGAAGGGGGGCTGCCTGGGAAGACAGGGCTCTCATCAAGGCAAGCTGCTGGGTTGGTTATGATTGTCATTAGAGGTGGACAGCTTGTTGCACTTACTCTTTAATAACAATTCTTTCAAAAAGACTCATACAGCCAAAATGATGTCACTAGCTGCTACTTGATGTTCATACAAAAAGTGTATTAGGGAAGGCATTACAACACATTTTCCCAACAGTACAGAATCAGGAATTACAGAGTCCTGCCCTAATGCCATCCTGTCATCAGGTGAAAATGAAGTAAAGGGCTTTCTTAGTCTTCCACAAAGCATATCTGTTAAAATAACTGCATAAAGCTGTCAGTGTTCCTTATAACTATATTTGAATTAAGGATGTAATTTGAACTGGTCAGCCATAAGTATGACATGTAAAAAAACTACTGTAATGAATACTATTTATTATAGTTTTATCACATGCTTGTTTTAAGAGGTTTGGAACCAGTGAGTCCTGTTCTTCCTCCTTTCTTATTTTATCTTTGCACCAATCTTGTGAAGAAAATGATGCTGAGAAAGTCTAACCGATTCAAGGTAATAAACTAAGTTCTGGAAGTAAACAGAGATTTGAACGTGGCTACCCTGGTTTTGTGTTCTAGCCATTATATTACACTGAATACAACTGATCCTAGTTAAAAAAATCAATATACCCTATTAGGCCAGAAATTCTTGCCCTGAGACAAGTCACAAGGACCCTTTCTCTTTTGGTTGCAACTAATCTCTACAGTGAAAAGCCAAGAAGCCACATTCAGAAGCACTGCACTCTCTTGACCTGCTATGCAATGAGATCTGACTTTTGATCTGCAGCATCTCACATGGAAGAACATTGCCTGACAGTGGTGAACTGTAATCAAGTTATGGAGAAAAGTGAAAATTGGTCATAATATATAACCAGCCCAAGCTGGATTTCACCAAAGAGGAAGAATGGGACACAAGTGGACATGTGACCAGAAAAGAACCTCTTTCATTAAAAAGCAGAAGAATTTATCCAAGCCTCAAAGAGCTCAACATATAAAGAATCTAAATTCAATCCTCTAGTACAGTCTTAATCAAGAATTAGTTTGCTATGACTGCACTGCAGGTTCCAGATTCTGGCTTCTACTACTGCTCTGAATGAGTTCACTGAATCCCTGAGAATTCCAGGTTCAGCGGCTTCTTCAACTTTTAAAAAAAGTGATTTCTTCTGCTCATAGGTACACACTTCTAACGTACTGTTTATTCAGTCTGCAGCAAACTTTAAAGGACTCATCTGTATTATGTTTTGGTTTTGCCTTGCATGAGGCTAAGATCCCTCCTCCAGATTTTCCTTGTGGGAAAATAGTCAGTGATGTCACTGGATTGTAATTCTCATTATTCCTCACCACTGACTAAGCTGGTTAGAGCTCTTATGAGAGCTGTCCAACATCTGGAGAGCCCCATATTCCCCAACCTTCTCTTAGACCACACAAAGTTCAGTCTGCTTCAGGCTGTGGGGAGGCAAGCTTCTAAAACAAAAATGCTCCCCCCAAACAAAAGCATTTCCCAGATGTACAAAACTAGGAAGAAAAGGTTCTAGTGTAGCGTTCTCCCAAATTATGTTCATTTTAATTATGCACAATGGGTTGGAGGATTTTGTACTGGAAAGCATGCAGTCATCACAGAAGCCCACAAATGAAATTGAGAGTGGTACATTCTCATTGTCTGTTTGGGAGAAATGAAACAACAAAGTGATATACTGTAGATACCAACTTAACAGGTTCTTGCTTAAGAAAAAAGTGAATTCTAAGACAGTGGAAATACCAGCCATTAGCAAAGAAAGATCTCGCTCCATCATGCTTTCCAGGCTGACATAGCCTGGAAAGTGACTAGTATCATTTCTACATCAAACAGGATGTGCTCCCATGTGTCTCTGCAAATCTGGTATTTGAGGGAAGAAAAAAAAAGGCAGGATTTATGCTCTCTTTCACAATCTAGCATGAAGTACCTGAGCCAAGCTTCCATCTTCTACTACTGTGTCAAATTCATTGTTCATTAACTCAGCAAGAAAATCCTCTATTTCCTCAGGTTCCAGGTCAGCTGCAGAGAAAGTGAACAGTTAAATATTCTAAATTAAAAGAAGCAGCTATCAAAGATGAACAATGGTCCAAATGTCCCCATCAGTGCCAAAAGATGGGTGGGGAGCCTTCAGTGTCCCAAATGTCCCTACCTACTGCATCCATCACTTCCACTCAGCAGAGCTGGCAATAAAAGACTTTAGGAATTTAGTCCAATCTGTTGGGCCAGTAATTCCCTGCCTCTACTATTAAAAGAAGGGATCTAGGTTTTCAAACTATGCCATGCTCCACTGCAAGTTACTGAACCACAACTCGCATCTGCTGAGATTTAGACTACAAGTTCCAAGTCTGAGCCTCTCTGCTGTTACCATTAAACCCCATTCTTTTTCCAGACCATAATACATATGACAACAGTAGAGGTGTGTGCTTTGTATTCATATCCAGCGGATATGAATACGAGGCATGGCAGTGTAGCTGCCACTGTGGTCCACTCTTGCCCACCAGAAGCAGCCCAATACACTTACCGGGCTCCACATGGTGAATATGTCTGTCAACATCATAGTTGCACTAATCGTGGATGTAGATCAACTGGCGCTCCCCTACCTCTCCACGCAGCTGAGCATTCAGCAGCTAAGCAAGGAGACTCATCTTCCCACCTCGCTGCTGCCCTCGCTGCTGCTGGGAGAGGCGCGGAAGAGCGAGCAGAAATATGTCCACAATTGGCACAACTACGATGTTGCCAGATGCATGTATTGTACAGAGCCTGATAAGTAGAACAGGCTGGTTCTGGGGGGCAGGAATGGATGTGCTGCCATGCTTCTTATTTGTATCTCCTGATACAAATACTAAGTGCACATCTCTAGACAAGAGTCCTTGATGGCACTGCCTCTAATTACTGTAAATAATGCATACTCCAGTGGTTCCACTGAGCAATGCTTTTGATTTGCATGCTTTTAGCTTCCACACTGGTAACAAATATAGGTAACAGTGCTCCTTCCTACTGGTATGGCATTTCTTTTGTCTTTGTTATCTTTTATACTGTTCCATTTTTCTGGACCCAGCAAGATTCACAATGACACGGATGATGTACAATTAATATTTTATTGGAAGCCGCCCAGAGTGGTCGACCAGACCAGATGGGCGGGATATAAATCAAATAAATAAATAAATAAATAATATAACACTGAATGAACAGGTTGTTATACAAGACACCATACCATTCTGAACACAGAAATCACATCTGATTTTGGCTGCTGAGCAGCAGCAGGTCTGGCTAGAATGTAGATGGAAGATGCTCTGGCCCAGTTGTCTAGCAATCACTATTTGGTCCTTGTCGAAGTCAATTAGAACTTTTCACTTGCCCATATTTTCTGCTTCCAAAACATTAAATTCAAGAACTTATAGTTCGCTTGCTGCCTAATATATCCCACCCCTTGACAGGTGCCATTGTAATGATATAATCAATGCTATTCACTTCATCTTTCAGTGGTTTTAATGTTGTGGGTGATCAGTGTAGATCATACAATTGTCATTTTGAATACATGGACAAAAAAAAAGCCTTCACAAGTCTACAATTTGTCTTATTAAGACATGTGCTTGTTTTGGTATCTCACCGTTGCTTTGGAAGTACTGCTCCACGGCCCCCACCATCCATTCAGCTTTCTCTTGACTGTATGCCCCTCCAAATCCATTTTCAACTGCGATCTGCGTCAGAAGAAGACAAGGCCCCATTCATACAAAATACCCAGGAAGTTTCATAGCAAATAAGGAAGCTACTAGGAATGAAGTTGCCTACTGTGAGAGCAGGAAACATTTCAAGAGTGACACAGCTAATATGACAATACTTCACTCACCTTAAAACACAACATTTTTGGTCAGGGTTGAGCTCCAAAAACATACTGTAACTCTTATTCAGGTTTTCTCCTTGATTGCACTATAATTAGTGAACTGCTACTTCCTTTTGTAATGTTGCCTGTGTTATGGCTTAACGGGTGCCTAATGGTTGGCAACCACAACACAACCAACACACTACCCACCCTTCACAATCCTTGAAATATTTTCATTATGTTTGTAAATAAGACAAGAAATCTACTTAAGCACAAACACCTATCTTTTCTGTCTTTACAGGCTCCCTAAAGCCAAAGGGAAGAGACGTGACTGATAGCTCAAAGATGCAGCTTTAGTTTGAGTGTGTACTTTTGTATCACCATTAACAAAGCTGACTTCATGTGGCAAGTGAGGAACTCTCTGCTGCAAGCAAGTACAGTATTTAATTAAAAATACTTACTCCACAAGCTTGCTCGCTCTTTTTTTTTAATAACAGCAGTATGGATGGTAATGTGTGGTCCTCTCTGTGTTGCTAGGGCTAACAGGAGCTGCAGTCCTGCAACATTTAGAGAGTTATTGATTTTTCATCCTTGTTTGCAGCAGAATCCTAAGCACACTTATTCATAAATCCCATTATAATCATTAGGTTTCATTACACTATCATCACAGGATACATTCATTTTTGCATATTTCCCTTGTTTGCATCACACATGCATAGCTGTATGATGGACACATACTAGAGATGGGGCCTTCATATTTGAAGGCACAGGTGGCCAGCCTGATTACCTCCCAGCCCAAGACCCACCAGAGCATTCACCACACTATGCACGACAGGCATGGCAGTAGCTCGGCTGCCGCAGCCACACCTCCCTACTGGCTCAGCCACTCTGGCAAGGGGGCAGGAGGATGAGTCTCACTGTTCAGCTGCAGAGTGGCTGGTCGAGCAGGAAGGCAGGACTGCAGCAGCTGCGCTACTGCTGCGATTGGGGCGCAGAAGATAATGTCAGCCACGCACCTCGTACATCATGTAGCAAATGCTCCTGTGGGTGGGAGGTAATCGGGCTGGCCACCTGTGCTGGGGGGCTTCATATGAATACAAAGCCCCCATCGCTAATGAGTATCCCAAAAGACTGTGATACTCAACTGTATTTACCCTGGCTGTATAACTAGGTACTCCTGTACCATGTTTAACCCCTTTGCTGACAAGTACAGAGTTCTGAATTCTGAAAATTGTACTAAAGAGAAGATACACTGGTTTGTCCACATTCAAATATGGACCAACCTATGGTGTCAAAATGGGGGAAAGGCATGTTTCCTAAGTGCATTACTGAATAATGGCAATAATAGAAGGATTTTCCTCACCCTAAGTAAGAATGCTTTATTTTTTTTATGTTAATGCTTGATTGTACAATTTATTTATATTTTCTTATTTTTATTTTCTGTTCTATTAAATTATATTTTATGTTGTTTGTGTCTTATAAATATATACTGTATATGCACAGTTCTTCATAATCATGCTGGAGGCATTCAAGAGAACATTGGACAATCGTCTGTCAGATCTGCTTTGATTCGGATTTCTGCCTTGAGCAGGGGGGTTGGACCTGATGGCTTTAGAGGACCCTTCCAACTGAATTATTCTATGATTCTACAGCTGCAGAGTTGGAATTGATCCTATGAATCATCTCCAGTCTCCAACAAATTTCTAGGCTCAGAATGCACTTGGAGGCTCTGTTCTCTTTAATTTTTCATTTTTCACATGTGGATTTTGTAATTCTAATAGAAGACATAGACGGTCCAACATGCCTGAATCTGCCAATCTCTGATAAAGGCAAAATATGGGCTTCAAACATTCATTACAAGAGATACATTTCTCTCACACCAGGCTGCATATGAACCGAGATGCATTTGTACATTTTTGTGGTCAGAAAGCAAGTGCTCGACTGCCAAACTGAAGAAATTCAATGCATATTTTGCAAAATGCAATTTCCAGCGCCAAGGAACTCCCTTCCTTCTATGCAGATGCACCTGGGAGTAAATCTCAAAATGTAGTTGCACATATAAGCATCAGTTGACTCAGGCATTCTCTGATGGATACAGTCAACTAGGTTCAAGTCTCCTGCATAACAGCAGACAACAAATACATCCCACACCACCAGAATACCCGGTAAAGGACAGCTTGGGCCGTAATAAAATTGGTTTCTGGGTTCCACAAGAATCTTAAGTCTCCAGCCGTCTAAAATTTACGGCTATGCTCTATTATGCTCTGCTACCACTTTGCAGAAAGACATCATCCGACTAAACAGTCCCAAAGACTGTCACAACGACTTTCATCCCTCAGCCCCGCGCCACAGTTCGAGGACCAAGGCAATGCCCAAGGAAAGGTGAGGGTGGTGCCAGGCGTCCTTCCGGACACCTGGGTTTACTTCAATGAAGGAACTCTTCTACTAGGTTGCCTCTCCACTCTTCCTCCGCCCCGGTCGAAATGGGCTTTGCAGTCGCCCCTCTTCTGCTGCTGCCCTACCTCCTTCCCGCCATTTCTTTTGTTTGTCCCGGCGGCCAAGGAGCCCTACCTGCAAAACAGGCCAGCTGCCCAGCACCGCTTCCACTCCTTGGCTAAAGAGGCCACGTGCCCCGTCCTTCGGCGTCGCCATGACGAGCCGCGATCAGCCAGCACGTCGATCGCAGAGCTATGGATGAACAGCCAGGAGAGGAAATGGAAGGCAGACGAAACGAAGCGCACACCGAGTCAACGATGGCCGTTCTTCCCTTAGGGAGCACCCTCATTTCATCAGATGCATGACATGCTACCTGAATGTACACAGGATTGGGTGGAACAAGATCGAAGCAGAATAGAAATACAAAAGGTCCAATCCTGAATAATAGCATCGATTACAGATCTCCTGGCTTAAAACAAACACCTAATTTAAAAACAAAGACTTCTGTGCTTTCCCGTTCTTCAGATTTTTTTAGCCATCTACCCTAATTAAGACTTCTGCAGAACTTGGAAGCTTGTGAATTTATAGATGACCCAAATAAAATAATTATTTACTTGTTCATTTCGATTCTTGTTTTATTCCTATGGATCAACATATGGCCCATTAAAAAAAATGTTGATGCTTATCTTACCATTAACAAACAATAATTAGAAACAACAAGAAGATTTTAACATAGATAAACAGATGCACCATGTACATGGTGATTAGTACAATCCAAATATGAAAAGAAAAATAAACATTACATTCCAGATAGATTTAATTATTTTCATTATTTATATGCTGTCTTTCTCATAGGGTACCCAAGGCAGCTCACAACAGATGTAAAAACACTATATAAATATTATATTTTAAAAAACATACAGTAGGACAGTGGTATCTGCAGTGGATTGGTTCCAACTATCCACACATGCTGGAAATCGCAGATAAGTGATAATGGGTGGAGAAGGACTGCGGAGGTGGGATTTTCACTCAACTCCACTCTTTTGTCCATCTAAGGAGCCTATTCAGACCAGAGGGAAGTGATACAAGGTGGAGAATATATTAGGGGTCTCCTACCAACTCTCCTCAGACTGGAGAAGGTACTTGGATAAGTAGCAAAAAGTTTCAAAGGAACAAGAAATAAGCCCAGTTCCCATGACTCATCTTCCAGATAATCTCACTGGGAGGACTAAAAATCTTCACAGATACTGTACTGTATACTGTATAAGTGAACCCTATATCTAGGATTTTCTTTGGTTCCCTTTAGTGGCCAGCTTTGGTAATACGTATACTGTACATTGAAAATACATATTTCTGGGTTTTTCAATTTATTATTTTCAGGCAGTGGATAAGTGAGATTGCGGGTACTGATCCCACGGATATGGCAGTCCTACTGTATATTAAGATTTAAAAACAAGTTTAAAAAAACAATTTTAAAACCTTTTTAAAACTTTAAGTAAAAAAATCAGCATTCCTGGGGCAACTTACTGCTTAAAAGTCTTTGCCTGAAGACAGAAACACAAAAAGAAGATAGCCAAACTGGCTTCTCAGGGCAGCGCATCCCACAACCTGGGAACAGCAACTGAGTAGGCCCTTTTCTGTGTTCTCACCACATGAGCTTGGGAAGGGTGGTAGAACCAAGAGAAGGATCTCCCCAAAATAACTTAGAAATCAAGAAGGCTCATGTGGGATGATATGATCTTTCAAATGGCCTGCACCCAAGCTGAACTCTATCAGCAAGTTATTTTAATTAAAAATGGTTGTGAGGATCGAAATGCAGAAATTATAGGAGATGGAAACTGTCAAAATAATGGTCAAACTTAATTCAGGTGATGGTAGAGACATATCTGAGTAGACTAGCCGCCCAGAGTGGTAGAATATACCAGATGGGCAGGATATAAATTGAACAAACAAACAAACAAACAAACAAAATATTTGATTAATACATGTAGAGAGATTAAAACCCTTCGTCATTATACATCCCATGTGCGAATCAAATCTCAGACTATGTTAGAAATTGGATATTAATATTTGTCTCTCGGAGGAGTTGAATATGAATATTGCAACCACAGGTGGCCGGACCCTTTGGACATCACCTCCAGAACTGCCTGACCATTTACTGTTTGCAGAGTGGCTTTTGTGGCCATCATTGTTCATACCATGCCAATTGCGGAAGTAGCCTGTCTGGTACTTCCCTGCGCTGCTGACCACTTTCCATCCTTCCTGTGCTGCTTGGACTACTTCCACAAGGGGGTGGGATCATGAGTCTTCCTGCTCTGGAATGTAAACTGTCTTTTCTCTTCCTCTTTTCATATTTGAATTGTACCAATACTTTTTGTCACTGGCGCATCTGTTTATCTATGCTAAAATTTTCTTGTTGTTTCTGATTATTGTTCATTAAATGGTAAGATAAGGTTCAGTTTTTTTTAAAGGGCCAGGTGTTGATTCATAGGAATAAAACAAGATCCAAAATGAAAAAGTAAGTAATTATTTTATTTGGGTCATCTATAAATTCACAAGCTTCCAAGTTCTGCAGAAGTCTTAATTAGGGTAGATGGCAAAATCTGAAGAATAGGAAAGCACATAAATCTAAACAAAAATTAGGTGTTTGTTTTAAGCCAGGAGATCTGTAATCAGCGCTATCACTCAGGTTTGGACCTTTTGTATTTCTGTTCTGTTTCGTTCTTGTTCCACCAAATCATGTGTATATTCAGGTAACATGTCATGCATCTGATGAAATGACCTACAGTCCATAAAAGTTTATGCCAAACAAAAATTACTAATCTTTGGGGTGCCACAAGTCTTTGTTGTTTTTGCTACAAACATGGCTACCTCTAGCGTTGGAAAACTTACAGCCTGCACTGGAAGAAGGAAAAAACCCCAAAAATTACTCAAGGAGAAGCTCCGATAAGAGTTTTAGCTTTTAAAGAATGATGAATGTGTGTGTTAATTAAATGTACTATGATTACATTAACTCCACTAACTTCGTTAAGACCAACACAGAGGACTGTTAGAAGCTGAACAGGCTCGAGAATCATAGTACAGTACAGTAACAGAAACTAAGTAAGCATCCTACATACAGCAGATATCGTAAGTACAGTATTGACATTGCTTCTTAAGTTCAGTCCTCCTGGGGATCAAATAAAACTGGAGGGAAAGCATACGGGTTGTGAAATCTCTTCCTGCAATGTACCGCATCTTGTTAAGGACTGGTAACAACACATCTGATAAGAAAACTGGCCCTGAGCAGTTTGGTACTTCCACTTTCTCCACAACCAGACCAGATCTCAGATTTGCCGAGTTCTCCTTTATCCAGCCTGGTCTTCACCAACATTCTTATTTACCACTAAAAAAGGCTTCACCATCTTCAAAATATTTGTTTCTCTTGAGAGAGGAATACCACAGATCCAGCAGATCCTGACCTTCCCTGTGCAAAATACAGGCAGGAACTGTTCTTGGGTTGTTGTTTTTGTTTCAAGTAGACACTAGAAGTTTAATTCATTAATAACCTATATTTGCAAATTGATACAAACATGGATCTTTCATTCTATTGCCTCACAGTGCAAACCCCATCAGGCTCCAGATGCACTATTTCCAATCAGAGCATCACCAATATCATACACTGATCAATTTGGAAAGAAGATCCAAGGTGACTTCCCTTCAGTTTATTTCTAGTTAAGTGTACCAGCGTACACATGCCATTGCTATTTACTTCCAATCCAACAAGAGATTAGAAAGTTCATGAAAGGCAAGCATTGTGCCTCCTTGTATACAGCCTACATAATGACATTACTGAAGTAGTCTTCCTGTTCTATTAAAATTATAAAAAAAAATTGCTTGGTTGGAAAAAAAGGGCACAGAGGACAGAAGTGTACATACATACATACATACATACATACATACATACATACATACATACATACATACATACATACATACATACATACATACATACATACAAAGTGTTTGTGCGTGTAGCTATATTTTCAAAATAAAACTTCATTCCAGAAAATATATTGGCATTCTTCTTGTTCTCTTGCATTTATGTTCCAACGCAGAGGTGCTAATCCGTACTACGCCTTTCTAGTGACCGAGGCACACAAAATGGCTGATGTTTCATCCCATCCTCTGTTGTTACCCCGCTACACCGCCCTCCCATCTCATGAGGAAGGGATGCTCTACTACAATTCCCGAGACACCTTGCGCCCCAATAATCCAATAGGGATGGATTGGGGGCTGTGGTAGAAGCAGGGGAATCCAGCGGGGGACCATCTTCCGCCCGCCCCCTGCCAAGGTGGTACCGTCGCCTCCCTCCCTTCCCTCCCTCGCTCGCCGCTTTTTTTTTCCAGCGCTCGGCGGCTTGCCGTCCCCCTTCTCTCCCTCCCGCCCTCTTGACGCTCTCCACGAGTGATCCTGTTGGGGGCGGCGCGTTCATATAGGTTTGAGAGCCCCTTTTCAGTGGTTGTGGAGAAAAAGTCGTAGTCACGTAGGTGTCCTAACACGGAGGGAGGATGTTTACTGATACTCTGAGAGGGAGAAAGGTTAGTATAAACGAGGATGGAGGTTTAGTATGGGAAGGTTTTAGGAATGGTAAAAGATGTTTCAGAGGGCAGGAAATCTCTTCATGAATACCTTACCACAGAGGTCTTAGGGACCTTTTAAAATGCAACACAGTGAAATTTAGCCCTCCCTTCAAGGACTGAAAGGAAACCTTTAAGGCTCCACCTCACTTTTTTCCCCCCTCAGCACCACCCTCTGAGGGTAGGTCGGGCTGAAAAATAATGACTGGCCATAAAGTGAGCCTCCTGACTTCGTTCATTGGACCTTGGGCCTCCCAAATATAGCATGCTATGCTGGCTGACAAAATGGATGGGATGTGTATACAGTATTCCCTATACCCACATGCCTATACAGTTACACAATGACCAAACTAGAATTTCTGAGCCTGGCTGTAGTTTCTCACTCTGCCCCATCCTTAAGAACTACTCCCGCCCTGCAATGTATGTTTTGTCCACACGTGGAGGATGCAATCTTATTTGACTGGGATGTAGCAGGTGCTTGATAAAGAATGAATGAAGGTGGAATAGCGGCTTTTGGGGAACTTGTGTGTGAATGAACTGAAAAGACCTGCACCTTTTACCTCAGGAGGCTTAATGCGGTTTGTTGTTACATACCATCAAATTGCCTGCGACTTATGGCAACCCAATGAATGGGTGGCCTCCAAAATGCCCTATCATTAACAGTCCTGCTCAGCATCCTGCAAATGCAAGGATGTCACTTTCTGTATGGAGTCAATCCACACCTTTTACCTAAAAATATACAGAAGACCCTGAGAGCCAATGTGGTGAAGTGAACAGAATGTCACACTAAGACTCAGGAGACCTGGGTTTAAAACCCTGCTCAGACTTGGAAACTTAACTGAGAGACACACACTAGGAAAACACTCCTTAAATATTTCACATACTTTGAAAATCTTATTTTATATGATAGTACATAGCACGCACATGAACAAATTTATGTGCGTATCGCGCGCGCGCGCACAGAGAGAGAGAGAGGGAGGGAGAAAAGACCTAATATTGGCAGTACTGTAACTCAATCCTGGTAATGCTATCCAATTTTACAGGTTGTGGACATAAATTCTCCTACCCAAATTGCACATTTATTTGTCATTCATGGTATGTTAGCAGCTATTCCTTGATGTTGTTTATGGCTCTGCCAAAGTTTTTTTCTGCATTCTTCTGTTTATGAGAAAGGAAATAGTTCTTTGAATATTGGCCCCATGTTTCTTATGGGATTGTTGATTTTAATGTGTTTTTGAATATGGAAAAACTGGTGAAATATGGAAAGGTTTGGCCCCTGTAATAAGAGTAATACTATACTCGTGGTAGATGTGTGATTAAGCAGTAATTTAACTGTGTAGATACACAAAAATAGACCACTGCTTGAAAGGATTTTGTAATCTGAAATGCAATAATGATGAAACATACAGAGGGAGAGGAGTGGGTTAATGCTGCTTGTTGTTGTTTTAAGTTTTATTGGAGATGGAAATGGGAGTTAATGGGAGAAACCAGGGACAAATAAAAAATATAGGTTATGTGGGCTTTGAAGGAGACATACACTATGCAAGTACTGAAAAACAAAAATAATTCCAAGGAGTTACAGTATGCTGATTTTGATATTTGTTACATTTTCACAGAGATGTGTCCTTTGGGGAAGGCCAGGTATGCTACTTAGGTGTTTCTTTACCAAGAGCTATTTTTTGCTCTAAGGTCTTGGTTTGGGGTGCACCTAGTCTGACCTCCAAAGACAGATAAAGGCTGATGTTGGATCATCTGTAGCAAAACTTTATAAATTAATGATATTAGTATGATGTCTTCAGTAATTCTATTGAAAAAAAGGTGTTCAGTACATTATTTACTGTTTCTTCCCACATATATGTGCAGTGATGAGAGAAAGTAGACATGTTTCAGTTCTCCTTACATGAGTCTTGCTCTTGAAACAGATAACACTGAAATAGATGCTTTCTTGTTAATTAATTAAATAGTTAATTGTTTCAGCAGCATAGATGAAAGGGAAAGGACTAAATGAAATCTGCATATTGGTGCCACTATTAATGCAATAATAGGCAGTGGATTCCTAACAGTTGCTGAATAACCTTAATTAGATTTTAGAAACATTATTAGTTTTTTTTTAAAATCCATGTTTGTTTGTCTCAGCATGTTGGCAAAATTAACATGGGGAAAGGGGGAGTGGATCAAGAACAAAATATTGTGGCATTAAAAAACTAGCAGATTTGTTTCTGTGTGAGTTTCCATGGGTCGAAATCCACTTCTTTAGACCCCGCAAGTACTCATACTGTGTCCCCTGTACTGTATTTATACCTGTCCCTGTGAGGATTCACGAGCAGGAGAGGACACAGACAAAGTCAAAATGCAGTGTTGCACAGAATGGGGCCTATCAAGATATTACTAAAATTTGCAAATCAGAACCAGAGTGATAAGATGTAGGCCAGTTAGCTTTCACTGTCATAGAAATACTAAAGAGTTATTTCTGAGGTAAAGGTCAGAATATGTGAAGGGACTACAATTTATTTTTGGATTACAGCTCCAAGAATTCTTCAGCCACCTTGGCATGCGATCTTGCTGGCAGGAGGATTCTGAAAAAGTTTTTTTTTTCAAGCTTTGGTTCTGAGCACCTTAAGTGTTGCACTGATTCAGTGGTCTTCAAACTACCTATATTAAGGAATCCCATTATCTATTGATTTTTTTTCCACAAAAGAACCTTGAATTTAGTTTTGGGAAAGTGGGAAGGCCATAGAATCATACACTTGTAGAGCTGGAAGGGACCACAGGAGCCACCAATCCTAACCGCTGACTGAAGCAGGAAATCTACAGGTAAAATATCCTGCACAGTGGCCATCTAATCTCTGCTTGGAACCCCCCAATGAAGTATAGTTCTCCACCCTCCAAAGCACTTTGTTCCATTGTCAAAGAGATCTTGTTGCCCAGAAGTTTGTCCTGTAGCTTTATCACTGGTGTGTGTGTGTGTGTGTGTGTGTGTGTGTGTGTCTGTCTGTCTGTCTGTCTATTTATCTATCTATCTGTAGCAAGAATCAGTGTGAGGTAGGGAGTTAGACTATATTGAGGATGGGATTACCCAAATAATTTGAGAGTTGTGTCAGAGTATTGTATCAGTTCATGTCATGTGCTCAATTCATATCACTCTCCCCATCCTGCTAGGACTGCCTCAGTTGAACCAAGTTATTCTATTACAGATAAAAAGTCTCCAGCGCCTATGTAATACAATGCTAAATTGAACAGTTTCTAAAAATGAAAGCAAAAAAGAAACTCTGCAAACAGCAGGCATAATTGCTGATTTTGTGATGGGAGAGCATCCCACACCAGCTGAAACACATCATGAAGACTCTGCAAGGAAGGCCTCTGCACACAGAATACAATGACACAGCTATTCGCTCAGCCAAAAATGTGTGAAAAAGCACCTAAAAGGTGTTCAAAAATAATTTCTCAAATAAAAGTGCAAGTTCTAAAAAGCAGTTTAATGTAGAGAGATTTAAAATAAACAACCTCCTAACAGGTGTTCAAAAATAAATAATTTCTCAAATAAAAGTGCAAGTTCCCTTGTAGTTATATTAAAGTAATGTAACTGGGAAATGTTGAAATGATTTGCATTGTGCTAAATCCAGAGTAGTTGGAGGAGTACATTGCAATTTAGTAGCACCTTCAGAAGACCTAGGTTTAAACCCCTGTTCATTGATGGAAACTTACTGCGTGTGGGCCAGTAGTAAAGTACTTATTCAAGATTTCACATACTGTACCTTGAAAACCCTGTTAGGGTCTCTATAAGTTAAACATGACTTGGTGGGCAAAACAACAATACACCTAGTTGACTTGAACATGACTTGATGGGCAAAACAACAATACACCTAGTTGACTGATGAGATGACGGAAGTAGGAGGTAGTAGAATGGACTTAATCACAACAGATGAGTTTGCCATTTTCATTTGCTTTGTGCAAAATAGTCCTGCCAAGAAGAAAGTCTGTAAGTTCTGCTGCAGCACATTTATCAACTGTACTGTTATTTTTATTTGCACTTACTACTAAACTGAAGAGAATTTGGAATGTTACTCTCATGCTGCTCTCTGAAGTGGTACACTCCATTTCCCAATCTCAGAATTCTTTAATATTTTGCTTCTAGAATAATTGTTGGAAGCAAAAGGCATCCTATGTTATTTCAAATGGTGTGGTAGCAGCAAGCACAATCTAGGCCTCTTTTTGGAAGAGAGAGCTTGCCAAGAAACTGGCTTTTTAAGTAAGCACTTGTACTAAATGTGTATTTAAAATATTTTGAATGATTAATTGGGGCACCTTTATAATTGCTCAGGTTTTCTTTTCTTTTTTTTACATTAATGGAAAGTATGATTCCTGAATTTCATATGTACCCTAAGTATGTTTAATCTTCATGGTTTTAGGGGGCTTCTAGAAACACAACACCTAGTGCTATCAGTAAAAAGACTTTAGGCAGCTACTCCATCTTACTTCTTTAACAGTTTTGTTTTTTTTTGGTGGTAAGAAGAAAGATGGCATAAATAGTGGGAAACAATTAAGAGTTAGAAGCTGAAGGTGTTGTCTGTCCCACTATACAACTCAGTTAACGAGGCAGAATGATTGCACAATAAAAGCCTAATCTGGATGTTCTCTTGGTTTTCATGCTGGCAGAGGAGAGTGTTTCAGTGACAGATCCATTCGGAACACCCAGTCTTACACTCAAGCATTCCCACATAGACACAGTGAGACGGAAGAGATGGGATTGGGATGATTTGGGCGAAGGTATCCTGATCCCAAGACCAAACACTGGTCTACTTCCTCTAACAGATGTGCTTTCACGATGTAACTTTTATTTCTTTGTATGTATGTGTATGTGTATATACAATATATGTGGGGATACATATATACAATATATGTGCTAGAAAGTGTGGGGGTGTTTAGATATGTGCTGTTTCCTATTGAAAGAGGTTAAGTAATTGCTGTGTTGTTTCTTCCAAGAGATACCCACCGTACAGTTAGAGTGTGTGTGTGTGTGTCTGTGTTTCCCCGTGCTGCGCGCGCGCGCGCACACACACACACACGCGCGCGCGCGCTCATTTTGTAGAGCTGGGGGTTGCCGGGGTGTGTGTGTTCGTAAATGTTTCAGCAGTCTGACTCAAACAGCACGCGTCTCCACAAGTGAGCTAGTACCAATTATCATGGATTGCTTCTGCCCCTTAAAGCTCATCACAAAAGAGCGGAAATCTCCACTGGGTGAGGATGAGCAAGAGCGTATTCTTTGGACATCCGGGTGTTCTGCCTGTCTACAGCATCCCCTCTGTGCGTGTCTCCTTTCTCTCTCCCCCCCCCCTCGCTTATCGGGTAGTTGGTTTACCCCGATGTAGTTTGCTTCATTGAGACTTTGTTGGCATGTCAAGCTGCGCGAGGGCTGCCTCCGCTGCTGCTATCATCATCATCTCCTCCGCCTCTGCGTTTGTGTGTGTGTGCGCGTGGAAGGGGGTGGTTTCCTGAAAATAGTACAGCCCAGACAGAAGGTTGAAGGGAGAGGATTGCTCTTCACCTGCTTAGGCAGACAAGGTTTACCATTACCCGGAAGTTCTTCCTTGAAAGAAGGGTGGGGAGGGGGCTTTTCTCCCTTGATGCAGTGAGCATCTCCCACCGCCTCTTTGCTGCTTCCATGGGGTTTGTTTGAGAGGAATCCACAGAGATGGAGAGATGCGTCCCCCCTGCGCTAACCCAAGCCCTATCATATTGGGTAAGGAGCAACGTTGGAAAGATGGGGCTTCCCCCCTGCTCGTAAGGATGGGTGGGTAATAAGGAGAGAGAGAGAGAGAACAAGAAGAGGAGGCGGGGTCTGGGCGGCTTTGTGCATGTGACTACAGTATGTCTGGATGGATCGCCGCTGTGCTGAGCACTGCTAGAGTGGTAGTGGTGGTGGTTGGAGTAGAAAATGGATTCAGCCAGAAATGCAACATTATGAGATAAAGTCCCATGCCTTGGAAATGAACTGATCTGCAATCAACAGGACTTAATTCCTAGAAAAGATGTGTAGGTAGAAGGTATCCGCGAGGTGTTTCTGGACGGTGGCGGTAAGGTGTGGGGGAGAACAAAAAATTATCTTAAGATTTCATCTGGGACTGTAATGTTTGAAAGACAGGTGTGTGTGGATGCATCTGGGTGGATGGGATTTCTTTGTGGGGTGAGTCCTAGCAAGAAAGAATGGAGCTGATATTTTATATTGATATTTTATTTTCCCCGTATGTATGTGTTGGTGTATAAAGCTGTGTATAGCATTCAAATGAGCTTGATCAAGGAGAAAGAAGCTTCCTTTCCTTTAAATTATTTGTGCCTTTGCTCTAAATGTTTCACAGGGTCCAATTTGCCACCTTTTGTTCTTTATGATTTTAATTTTTATTTATGTTATTGCTCGTTTGCACTTATCCTGCTGTGATGTAGTGCCAATCTTATTCTGCAGGATTAAAAAAAATCTTTGTGTGGGGCTGTATAGTTCCTCCACCCAAAGGAATTTTGCAAACTGAATTCACCAGGGGATTCCCCCCTACTGCTTCCAGCGGAGGGTATACTGGTGAAGTATATTTATTTTAAAATAAATGTGATAGGTTGAAACCTTAACTACTCTTGCCAGCAAATAATCACTATTGGACACAGTTGGGCTTACTTCTGAATAAACATTGCTAAGATTGTGCTGCTGAATTTCTTTAGCTTTCTTGGAGAAATATTTCAGGTGGTTGTGGGGGATAAGATTATATCCCTCTCATTGGGGATCACCAAAAGGAAATATAAAATTCCTTTGGTTTCCTTAGGGTACTTTTAAATTAATTTCTGACTAGAACCTTTCTTTGAAGCTGTGTCTGCTCTAAGATTTAGATCATGCCACTCTTTGATATTTTGATACACAGGTGCCTTCAGGCTGCATGTGAAATGAGAATCATATATTATTGGGGACAAATACATTGGTGGGTGGTATGTTTTAATTTATTAAAAACTATTTGAAAGACAAATCCAGATGTTCCAATCTTTTTAAAAAATGTGATTTGAGAGCCTAAAGAAATGTGTTTAAAATAACTCATGGTTCTTCTTCTTGGTCTCTATGAGTGCACACTAATGGGTTTAATCTGTGCCTCCACAGAGGTCTCTGGAATATTCTAGAGCTCAAACATGTGTTCACTACGACCTCCCCCCAGTACACGTGGTCCGCCAGTCCTTACGACTCCCTCAGTTCCTTTTTGCTGCCGTTGAGGTCTCATCTTCTGGTGAGCTCTCTGTTCGCGCAATCTGGTTCTTTTTCCTGGGGGAACATAATAATTGTATTCTTTTGTAAGATTTGGATTTTATTTTATTTTCCCCTTATTTCCCCGCCCCCATACTTTCCATTCCCACAGGGCCGTTTAAGAGGGGCACTTTGTGCACAAACAAGTTGCCTGTGTGTGATGGCCACGGTTCTTACCTGTTTTGTCTGGGAGAATCGCATCAACCAGCCTCCTGCTCCCATTGTAAAATTTTAACTAAACAAGCCATCAAACTCTGCCAAAAGTGCCTTAAATCTTTCTTGTGAGAGCAATCTCTTCACCCCCCAACCAAGATGGATGAGGCACAGGGTTCACAACCACCACTTCTGCTACCAACTCTGTGTTGCCAACACCTAAATCCAAGCCAAAAATGCCTAAGTCTAAGTCCTTGGGATCGGCATCTCAATCAGCTCCGACACCAAAATCCACTTTGAAACCGGTCGATACCAAACCAAAGAAACTGAAGAAGTCTTCCATTGATGCTCAGCCACTGGTACAACACACTCCCGTGCAGGATCAACCGCCTATCGATCTTGATACTGACCACAAATACCCGCCTCCATCCGGATAACTGCCTTCTCCTCTGTTGGCTCAATCTCCCTCCTGGGTGGACACCTTGGCTGAGGTAACTGTACTGCCTTAATCGGCCTGTTGAAGCCCCAAATCTTTGGGTTGCTCTGTATCTGGGTGTGAGTCTGAATCAGCACCTGCCCCTGCTGATCCAGTGACTTTGCAGGAGAAGAGAGCTAAACGCCACCATATTGAGGACACTGGCTGTTCCGGTACTGCTCTGTCACAGCCTCTGAGACTTTCAGGACTGTCGGTATCACAGGACACTCAGGCTCAACAACACTGGCCCAAGCAAGTCACTGTTTATGAGCCTCCAGCTTACTACGAACCACAGCCTAGACGGTATCAGCATCATCCACATCGGTACTGGCAGCATGATATCGAACGTTACGCTGAACCCAAGTGCCTTTGGTATGCCTACTACTACCCTGCGGATTCTTCAGAGTCCCCCTCACCTCCTCAGGTGGCTACTATTATGATCAGTCAGCAGATGATGAAGTTGCACCTCCTCCTCCAGTACCAAAGCCCCAAAAGAAACCTCATAAATGGCATGCTCAGGTGGCTCCAGTTTCAGTAACCTTTATACCGAAGAAGCCAAAACCGGCGACCAAGTCCTCCGAACTGATGGCCGATACGATTTCTCAAGTCTGTTCATCATCCCTTTTCTCAAGTCCATTCATCACCACCACGACTTATACCAGTCCTTCACCCACTACCGTAGATCCTAAGAAACCTCAAAAGCGTAAGTTGGATCACTCAACTCGATTGATACCTCGCAAGAATGATACCATGGCTCCCGAACGACATTGGCCAGACGTTCTTCCTGATACGTCAGCCTCTTCATACCAACAGGATTCTTTGCTTTCACCAGTACAATATTCAGATTCTGATTCCTCGGATTCAATAACACCACTAGAATCATCCCCCCCCCCATCTTCTGACTCCTGGTTCCGATGTGACTGACACCAATCCGCCATCTCCATCACAAGATTTCTCATCTTACTCACAATTGATTCTTTGCATTGCCAAAGCCATGGACCTCCAGCAGCCAACTCATTCGGGCTCTGATAAGGTGTATGAGGATATTGATGAGGATCAGATACCCCCATTTTGGATGGGTTTCTTTCCATCACTGCTCAAACTGATTAAGCAGTCTTGGTCTAAACCGTCTTCAGTGCCTCAGATTTCTCAGAGAGTTGAGAATCTGTACAAGACCACGGCACTGATACGGAATTTCTCTCAAAACATTTTCCTCCTAACTCAGTGATTATACACGCAACACAAAACCGAGCACGTAATTGCTCTAACATCACTCCAAACAATAAAGAGGTCAGACAGTTGGAGATTATCGGCGGTAGATTTTATTCTCTAGCATCTTTCACCTTACGTGCTGCCAACTATTTAGCATCAGTGGGAGCCTATCATAGGTTTCTCTGGAACAAAGCTCTACCATCACTACAGTCAGCATCTGGGGAGTACAAGCCTTGTGGTTACGCCTATCATCAGGAGGCTATGGCATTAGCGAGACAAGAACGCATCATGGCACGACATAAAAGAGGCAGCCTTCAGACATATGGCCACAGCCGTTGCTTTATGCAGAGATGTCTGGCTCCGCTCAAATTTTGGAGGACACTAGAATTCATATTGAAGACTTGCCCTTTGACGGTGTGGGTCTATTTGATGAGAAAACAGACGGATTCTTGACAACTTACAAAAGATGAGAAAGACAGCATGCTCATATAATACTCAGTCATATTATCAGCCTGAGAGATACCACTGCCATCATCCATATCCCTTTCACCAATAAAAGCCCTTTCCAGAAAAACAACATTACTTACCTCAATCATCTTCCACGTTCCAGCCTCGCCAGTACACTCATCATCAGTGTCCTTGGAAATCCTTCAGCCGTCCTGATAAAAAGAACAAACAGAATCTTTGACTCTCCTAGCATCCAAATCATACCCTATCCACTCCCCTCACCACCCATCTAGTGCCCCATTTTTGATCTTGGGCACACATAACCACCGATTTGTGGGTTCTGGCAATCATATCCACTGATACAGGCTAGAGTTCATTTCCTTCCCCCACCGCAGACTGTCCTAACCCTGCCATTCAGTGCCCTCGAACTAGAGATTCAAGCTCTCTTCTCGAAGGGAGCCATTTCAATCATCAAACCAAGTCTTTCTGACCTATTCTCAACCTCCTTGACCTCAATTATTTTATCATTCAAAAGTATTTTCACATGGGGACTCTAGAGCGTATCCTTCCTCTTCTACAAAAGGGAGATCGGTTCTTGGTCATTGACCTGAGTGACGCATATTTTCATATCACCATCAGACAAGACCACTGCAAATTTCTTCGCTTCTCCCTAGGTCATACTACCTACGAATTCAATGCGCTGCCGTCAGGCCTCTCCACCACGCCATGAGTATTTACGAAATGCATGGCCCCCGTAGCAGTGCATTTTCGCACTCTAGGAATCTCACTGTTTCCGTACATCAACGACTGGTTACTCATAGCTCAGTCACACGCACAAGCGCTGAGGAACATTGCTGTCACTCTTTCTTTACTAGCAGATCTGGGCCTTAACGTCAGTGTCAGCAAGTTAGTACTAACTCCCTCTCAAAATGTTACTTACATAGGCGCTACTCTGGACTCACATCATGTGAGGGCTTTTCTCTCTCGTGAACGTGCACTCAAAATACATACTCTTGTCAACCATTTCCAGCCTCATGCGCTCATCACGGCTCATCAAGTACAACACCTCCTTGGCCTCATCGCCTCCACCACATCCATTATCCAACACGCCCAACTAAAAATGCGCTCGCTACAGTCATGGTATCTCTCCCTATTCGAACTTCTTCTTGACTCACCC